ATCTTTAATTAAACTCGCAACACGCACGCGATCGTAATTAATATCTGTTATCGCGAATTATATTTTTGATAAATTTGATTCAAATTAATTTCAATTCAATGTGTCTTGAATTTTATATAATAATTCCTGCAATATATCTTATATATTTTTATGTAAAAAATAAAATCACCTTTAAAAAGAATTCAATACTTTTGTGTAATCATAATTATATAAAATAATATTTATCTTTTTGCACGTTTATAAAATTGTTTTTCTTGAAGATTTCCAGCTTGTTAATTTCATGTTAAATAATTCTAAACACACGACGTTAAAATCTCATAACCTTCATAATTAATGAATTATTACCTCTACGATGATTCATTTAAACGCGTCTCGTTTATATTTTTGTAACATTTTATTATTGTTTCGCGAGGATATCCAATCAAATTAATTCAATTGATTTAATTTCATATAAACAAATATTTTATTCGATGCGTTGTGTTAATTCCGCTTGTAAACTTCATTAAATCCAACAAAAATATTGCAAAAATCCAACAAGAATGTTCACATCTGTTTCTTTGGTATTCGACTTGGCATTGATCCAATCATATGTTCGAGAAATTCCAAAATCTATTCTTTCGAGTTGTTTTTCTAGTTGATTTCATTCCTTTTTTTAACTTACAAAGTGAAAGATGCGGCTGAAAAGAATGGACCTATATACGGCAATTCGCAAAACATTGCATGATCGCATCATCTCGGCTTTCACCTGGTAAAAAGAAGAACGTTCATTTGTCGCAAACCATGCACATCGATTGTAAATGGTAGCGTGTCGAAATAGCGAGAAATCATGGAATGCGGCAAGCAAAGCCGATAAGAGTACGAGAAATGGCAATAAAGAAAGAGTTGCGAAGATCACCGCGTGACAAAATTAAGCGAAATTAGCGCGCGTTCCACATTCCTTCGCATCAAGTGTGGGTGTTTTACGGGGATAAACGGATGTGTTCGATTCACGCTGATGAGTCTTTGATTACTGATACTTTTTTATTTTTTAATGCGCTGTTCCGAGGCACGATTCTTCGAACAACGGGCTACGTCGTCAGAGGGATTCCTTGAGAGATATACGATGCAAGTTTCAAAAATAGAGCGAGCACACTAACATTACCATATATACACGAACCGAAACGCGCAGCCTCAACCGACATCTTAGCAACGAATCTTAAACGGTTCATTGTTGCTGTATATTTTGTAAGATTATTATTTTAATATAAAGTAATTTATATTTAAAATTATTTTCTCAAAAAATCCTATTATCAAAATCCATCACAGTATACGTTTAATAATTCTATTATGTTAATCATTGTGCGTGATCCTCTCTGTGGAAATTGCAAGAAAATATTCGGTTGAAACGTATCAATACAATAACTTCTGACAGTGCAGAAATTTTTTACTTTGTTGGAAAAATATGTGAAACTGTATTCTGAAAATATATTTATTGGAAAATTCTCAAAGAAAGATTGAAATAAGGAATAAAAGAGACGTATATCTGCTTGAAAAGCTGTTTTTAAAGAACTCTATTATATGGAAAACTTTCGACTTTCCAAACAGGTAGAAATAAGAAGATACAACGTCAAGGCTGTGTCCCAAAACTTCTTAATTCATTTTCTAAATGACTTTACGTATTTTTCCAACAATGTGATAAATTATATTGTCACAAGTTCGACACTTGAAAGACATTTTGTTAATTGATGAAGATATGAAAAATAATACATGAAATTGACTTACAAACTTGAAATACAGAAAAGAAAATATAGAAAATAGGTTCTTGCATTTTTCACATTTTTTATGAAGTCTGAAATAATTTAGACATTCAAAAATACATATATATCACATTCTCGGAAAATAAAATATAATAATAAAAAATGTCGGCGTTTTCCAGAAAAAAAATAATAAAATAATAATCTTAGCATCCGATAATTTTAATTAATATAATTTCAATATTTAAAAAAATACATAAATGAGTAGATGCTGGGAAATTTTCGCTCGCGGAATGCGAAATAAAATCGTTGTATGTTCGATATTCTTGAGATTGCGTGGGCGTCTTGCATTAGAGCTGATATTTCAGCAGTGCGTTTTCGAGGTGCGTATAAGTGCACGATTTATTCACAGACAGACTCCGCGAGAGCTTACGCAATCCGATCTCGTAGTTCCGAATAAAAGTCTGCTGGATCACGGCCGTAATGTATTTTTAGAATGTTGACGAACTGCACGTTAAGTTGTGTAGACGCGTCAAACTTGTACGTAAAAGGGTGGGGCCCCCCAAAAAAAGGAACAACGGAAGCATCGTCGAGAGGAACATCCCGTAGGGGATCGTGGTTCCCATTATCCGTTGACGGCGATCAGTAAGAAGCGTCAATCATCGTCGAGACTTTATTTAACTGAATATTGTTGGCAAAAGAATAAAGGCAAATTATTAGAATAAATTTAATTCTCGCGATAAGAAAATAAAGAACTTTAAATGTTTAATGTTTTAATAAGATTACCGAGTCAAAAAACAGAATATCTCTCGATAAAGAATTACACAAACACTGCGCAGTGTAAATAAAGAGATCTTTTTTTATCCTCTCTTTACTGTTACTTTTTTTCTTGACTGGTTTTATGCGCAAGTGAGATTAGTGTCACGATCCCGGATGGCATCAAAGCATCATATAATAACTTTCAATATCCTATAATTCGATATACCGTAATGCGGTGCGTACTCCCATTATGTGCGGTTGATGTGCTTTAACGTAATGCAGATATTGACGCAAGTCAAAGAGATATTTTTGTTCTGGCCTTTTCAATTTTACCTATTATTAGATGCTTTACATTCTTTTAGAATCAAAGAAGGTGATGGATCTGTCCATTTTTAAAACTTTTATTAAAATTGATAAAATACGAAAGAAAGAATTTTTTTATGTTTAATTCCCAAAAAACATTTTCAAAGATACGTGATAACGTTTGTCTTAATTAATTATTCACGTGTAAATATATTTCTGTTTTATAATAGTTATAATTTTTTTAATATAATATACAATTTATCATAAACAATAACTAATGAAATATGACTCATTACCATCAAAATGCGACGTCGCATAGAGACTTGGATTACATAAAGAGAATTACGAAAACAATTGCAACGAGCAAATTGTGATGTCCTGTTCAAATCAAAATTCATAACGCGTGATACTTTATATGATGGTTTGTGCTTGAATTATAATTGACACAATGTAAGACGCCATACAACATAACGTGTCGATTTCTACTCCAAGAAAAAATGCGGAGAAAGCGAATTAGCCTTTTTAAATTATGACATTTTTGTGAATTAATACGATACACATGACATATATATGAATCTCTTTTAGATGACAAACTGAACAATGCTATTTTTTAAAAATTTCTTATTAATTTTAATATCGAGTAATCATAAAATTTACAAAATATGAAATCGGTCAATTTTTTGACAAGCGTCACATGACTGACTCCGACTTGGAAAAACAGTTTGCAAAAAATATTGAAACAAATGATTTGACAAGTGCTTTCGAGTTAGAACGGACACAATGCATGATGCATTATCTAATTTACGACGGCTTTCTACCGGTGTATTGAGCACGAGAATTGTGTGCGCGTAACCCATTGTCCCCGTTCAGTAACCCTAATAATAAATGCTGCTCGTCGCCCAAGAGGATTTTACTACCTAACTAACACGTACTAACTAACGCATCGTTAGCCTTTCCAGAAACTCTCCTGGTTGTCGCCCGAGACATTTCTTCTGATAAAATTATTATTATTAATATTATCAATCAATATTGTCAATCATTATTATTAATTACATATAAATGATTATTATTAATTATATTATCAACTGATTTCTCCATATTAATTATTGCAATTAATGATCTGGAATCAAATTGAATTTTACTTATACTGTCACGATATCGATCGAATAAAGAATTAAATGACCAAAAAGTAACATGAGTTAATTTTTGATAAAAACTAAATTAAGTACTTTATTTACAATTTAACAAACTTTAGATTTTTCTTTCGAAATTAAAAGAAATTTACATCATTGCAGTTTTTATGACTTTAATTAAATTATTTAATTATTTAGAAAAGTAGGAGATGTAAAAAATTTCTATATTTGAATATTCAAATATTCATCTGTCACTCGAACTTTGGCATCGCATTAAACAATTGTTTGCTATCCCGTTAAATTATAGTTATTTATTTTTACCTCGAATATTTATCTTACAATCAAATAAAGTCCAAAATTTCCAATTTTACATATTATTCAAATTATCTTTTTATTTTAAGTAAGATAATATAAATACTCTCTCGAGATAGTAGACTATAATAAATAATTTAATGGAGAACCAAGTGGACAATTGTATAATTATTAATATAAACATTAATATTAATAAAAATATTATTTATAGTTATTTATATTAATAATTATCCACTCTCAATGCTCCGTTAAATTACAATGATTTATTACAGTTATACAATAATATTATATTACGATGTTATATTTATTGCCTTTTCATCCAGGTTTCATTAGCGTCGATTCTTTGATTAATCTTTTTCAAGAGAATAAGTTATCCCATAAATTTATCAAACTTTCAAGGTTTAATTTTGAAGGAAATATTAAAGGAAATTTTCTTCAAATTTCCTTTAATATTTGAAGAAATCTGAAGAAAATATTAAAGGAATTTTGAAGAAAATATTAAAGGAATCCCATAAATTTATCCCATAAACTTTCAAGGCTCAATTTTGACGAAAATATGAAAGGAAAGAAAATAACGTCTTTTAAATTTCAGAGCGTTTCGCTGATTCCTTATCACACGCGACCCTGGAGGACCTCTTGACCGGCGTTATCAAGTCTCGCCACGTGACGACCTTGGTCGCGTCTACCTATGTATCTACCTACCGGCCGTTTATCGGCGGCACATTGACATTCATCGTCTTGCGACGTGCGTGATACTGACCCGCTTCAGCTGATTGCCCATGATATTCTGCAGTTCGTTCTTTATCAAATTAAACTTCATCATCGTGTCGCTGGAGAATATGGAGCAGCCGAAGGCGAGCCCGGGATAATCGGCGCATCTCTTCCGTCTGCGGGCCTCCCTCTCGGCCTGGACCTCGGCTCGCTCGCTAGGACAACGCAACTTGGCCAGCTCAGCCAATTCCGGGTCCTCCTCGACGTTGGCCGACTCGTCGTCCGAGTTGCCATCGCCGCGAGCCCTCGCGACCGCGTGCTCGGGCTCGGGCGAGTCGCTCTTACTCCGCCGATCGCTCTCGTGATCGTCATCGGAAGCCTTTTCCCCGCCGGACCTGGGGGATTCCTTCGTCGTCTCGTCGCGCGTCTCGCAGGCATTCTTGCTCTCGAGCGCGGGAACGTCCAGGCTACACTGCGCGAGCCTTTGTCGGACGTCATCGTCTCTACGATCGTTCTCGATCTGCGCTCTCGCGTCCTTCGTCTCGATCTCGCCGATCCTCGTCGACCACCTGGCGAGCGTGACACGCGACACCGGGGCCTCCGTCGTCCCGAGACGGCAGTCGACCGCGTCGACGGTCTCCTCGTCGGCGGGGTCTTTGACGGTGCCAGCAGGGCCACACTGCGCGGGTCCTCTGCTGGAGGCGTCGAGACGTCGTCGCGTGGTATGTCGCGGGTGATGCTGGTGACCGCGACGTCTCGTTGTCGTCGAGAGCGCACGTTCCATGGTTACCGTCCAGCTGTTGTCGGGCTCTCGTCACGTCCAACTGCCCTCCCCCCACCCCCGTACGTCGCACACGTTGACGTAGTCCGCGCGATATGCACCGCTCTACTACCACTGCTGCATCAGGCGCTCCGCCATTTTGTCTGTCACTGATCGCGGCACGCGTTTTCGCCCGCGTCACGTCGTACGATGCGCCGGTGTGCGATGTCGTCTCACCCACACGCGCGACGCATGAGAAACAAGACGCGCCGAACCACGCCGTGCACTGGGCGCACCGTGCGTCTGTCTCGCTCGCGCGTAAAGCGAGCGAGAGCGAGCGTCCCCACCACGCGTTCAGCGGCGCGGGTAGGGGCGTCCGAACATCTCCGAACGGACGACGCGGAAGTTACGCGTGTCGTGAACGTCACGAGCGGACTATGCTGTTTGTTGGTAAGGGGCAAGTGGAGGCGCCGCGCTCTCGGCGGAGATTGCGCCTGCGCGAGTCTGGTGGCGCCATCGCTCGGCGCGCGCCCGCACTATCTATTGTCGGTAACTTGGACCGCAGTTTGGATGCTGCGTTCCCCTGTTTCTCGGTCAAGAGGCCCTCTCCGAGGCAATTTCCTTGTGTATTCGAGGTTCGTCAACGTTTAATATATATTTAATGAAATTTATTAATTGTAATGTTCCTTTACACGTATCGTAAATATTAAATTGTCCAACAGGAAATTAGATTTTGCGGAATTTCAATATGTTTCATCTCGCTTGTGGAGCTTGGTGAAACTAGTCGAGTCGTGTTTCTCGTTTCTTTCGCGCGCGAATATAAATATGAAATATTTCTCTTTTTTTTTCAAGATTGTGATTCTTTAAATATCCTCCGAATTTCGTATTAATAATTAATAAAATAATTTGAAAGAGAACTAAAGTCTCATGTATAGAAAATTTGCGAATATATTCTCCAGCGTGAAATGTCGTAATTATTTGATCTTCATGATCAATCACTAAACTAAAATAAATTTGTAGATGAAATTTATTTCTCGCTTGAGTGTAGAATAGATTGGGCAATAATGTCGAATACTTTTTCATTTTTTGCCGAATAATATAACGGTGTTTACTTACATTTTGTAGAGCCTTGTCTTTCTCTTCCAATTTCGCGTTAACCTGCATAAGGGCTTCCTGAGTTTGGTCAAGCTCGTTCTCGATAGTCTGGATCTTCTTTTGCAGAGCACGAGCCTCTTCCTCAGCCTGTGTAAGTGAACATCAATATACTATCTTTCATTTAAGACTGGAATATTTTAGGAATGCATTTTGTTTATATTGATGTATATTCGTTTTTATAAAGAATAAGAATAAAATAATTTTCTTATGCAATATTTGTACCTTTTCAGCTCGTGCATTCGCATCGCGAGCTTGCTGTTCACAGAGCAACGCGCGATCCATCGCGTTGTCCTTCTCCAGCTTCATGCCCTGCATCTTCTTCTTGATCGCGTCCATGGTGATATTTGTGTCCCTTCACTCGTCCACTAGAAGTATAAATCTGTACCGAAGAAAAATACAAATGGATTAAATGGAATCTACCATGGAATTCACACTCAGGTTTTTTCAGGTATTTACATGCAGGTATTTATCTATTAAAATATAGATATCATAGTTTGATGATTATTTACACATAAAAAATTGTGCATAAAAATATTAAAAAAATATAGAGAAAAATATACTAAAATATTATATCGATTCTAAAAATAATTAAAATATTATATCGATTAAAAAAATGGCCTCTTAGATCGATGAGAATTGTCATGTAAGCGCATTTCTAAATTGGATAACATAGTAATTTTTATTAATTATACTCTTGATAGTGACTCAGAAAAAATTATTATCTATTATTTTGCTATCGCAATTAGCCATAAGCATTTAATTAGCGCCGACATTCTTTTCTTTCCGTTATTCGTTTCTTTTTTATCGTCCTAACCGAATCCTAAGATGCTTCGATGAGCGATTAATTATGCTCCGTTTTATGCGAGCGATAATTTCCTTTGTCCGCAGAGAAAGGAATGCGACCTGGTGTCGCTTCGCAATAATATATTGTTCTCTCACGATCGGGCCGTTATCCTTCCGTTACTGACGTTTCAAGAATAAGAGGGAGATGAGGAAACGCGCGGAAATAAGACTCTCTCGCGTCGATTGAGAAAATTCTGGACGCCTTTCGCGCGGATTCGCCATTCGGCAAACGGGCTTGTATAGGCGTGTATAATTAGCGAGCGACCGGATATCCTATTTATAGAGTCGGCTTCTCGCTGAGGAAGGCCCGGGCCGGTGAAGGAAGGCTCATTCGCGCGCGCGATATCAAACCTCCTCGCTCCACCGTCTCGTGACGTTGTTCAGGTATGCGGTTCCCGGTATGCAGGAACAAAAATCCGTCGCGACTGCATCCGCAGTTTATACGGCCGTTCCTGAACGTGGCGGGACGTTTTTTACGGCGCGACCCGGAGGACGAAGACGCGCCAGGGACGCACTCGCTATTTACCTCTCTCGATAAAATCATTTTACGAATAGCCACAAATAACTGCCTCTTTGGTAGAGACAATATGCTACATGGTTTGAGATTCAATGATGAAACGATATATCTAGTTCACAATAAGAAAATTACTTGGAACATTGACAGTGATATGGAATGATATTTGAACGGGATTTTGACATTAATGATAATTCGTGTTAATAATTGAATTTTATCTGTCTTTTTACTTGGAAGTCATTCCTGTTATCATTATTGTCATTATTTTGTACAAAAAAATATAAAATTTTGATTATTATTACTTTTCTATAAAGCCATTATTGATTTCTACATTTTGCCGACTATAAAAATATATGAAATGTTACTACACTGAGCAAATGTCATTTCAGATCAACGTTAAAATATATCTATCAAAGACCTGCTGGAATCCTGTGGCTGCGCCACTGCAATTGCATGGTCGAACTACATCTTTGCATCCTTGCTATCTCTTATTCAAGTGAATAGGCGCAGGATTCCAAGCTAGCTGGTAATCAGAGATGCTGGGTAAGCAAGGAACAAAAGGGAAATGGAATTTGCCCGATGTAGAAGCAGAAATACTAGCCGAAAGATTCTACGAAATTAAATAAAGCATACCACTGCATATCTCGTCGTACAATAATCATACGTCGCTTTTATAAATATTTATGCTGACAAAACAGATACGAGATGAGATAATCAGTTTCGTTGAACTTGCCGATTCCTCTTGCGTTTACTAGTCCGTAGAATACTTTACAAGTAAAAATTACGAGAAATTTCTGTCTCTCTTTCTCTCTCGTCTTTCATCGTAATAATAATTAATAACGAGAATATGATGAAGAATTTTATAAATCGAAAGTTGGACCTAGAAATTTGATTTGTCGAAACGCATGTTTCTCTGATCCAAAAACTCGCGTATCGCGACCGAGGGTTATTTTTACGTATCAAGACCGAGAGGAGGGCAACAAGAATCGTTGCCGCCTGCTGTCGACCGAGCCATTTCGGGTTACGCATCGCGAACATCGCTGGCTCCTAAACGCACCGAACGAGTGACTTAACTTGGCGGTATCCTGTTACGCACGGAGGAAAAATAATCGTATGCGTGCCGAATCATCGGCTATTTTTTTTATCGAACTGTAATATGGAACGTTTAATTTTCCAATTGTAAAAAAAGCTATGCAGAAGGAGAAGTAAAATATGCCGTCTGTTAAAGTTCTCAAACGATCTTTCAATATTATGTACTAATTATTTCTTAATTTTCTCCCATAGAAAAAATTTATTTCATATTAATGATACGATTAAAAAATGTTTTCTGACTTTTGATTTTAGCTACTGATCTTAAACTATATAGCTTTTCATCAGATTGCATATAATAGAGACAATTAACTGCGAGTTGTCACATCATCATGAAGTCAAATAGCTTTAGACACTTGTGACATCGTTAATGAGTGCAACATAATTTGAAGCATGCAATTTGTAGTGGCGTGATACTATTTCTTTTATTCTACATATATAAGATAATGCAACTCATTAGTAACGCTAGTTTATTTTCTGGGTAAAACCAAGCTCGACGACTTAATGAAATACGTTAAAGAAATTCTTCTCTTTACGAAGAAATGAGATTGGGACAAATGTTTTGTCGTAGTCGTTATGCGAAAAAAAAATACTTATGAGTCACTGCATTCCGATAGTGCTCCTTGGTCTATGGCAACCCGTTATCGCGATATATTTCTGCGGAACTCTCTCTTTTTTTGGCAATTTTGTCGCTGATTATAAATGCCATTCAGTTAAAATAAATCACATGTAGTATAAGTTGAAAATTTAAATTTATTGTTAATTTAAATTGATCGTTTTTTTAATAATGTTATTAGTACAAATATTTAAATGATATAATTTAAATTATACATTAATAATTTATTGTATACATGTGTATATATATATGAATTGCATTTTTAAGAAATTCCTTCAAATTTTCGTATTTATCTAAAATTTTGTACATTTTGTTTACACATCTGATAATCGCTGATGATCTCATTCCATCGAGAGTTTCAAAATAAGAACGAAGGTAATCCTGTTCAACTCCGATGAAATAATTGAGTTACTTCACTTTTTATTGTCCATAGACAACATACATGTCACTTATTATTCAATCATGATTAATTTCTAAATGAGACGGTACGTAATCGTTTATCTTCCATGCTGTATCTATGGATGTGCAATCAAGTTAAGCGATATCGAATAATATTTTTCTCGTATACTTTTCGATTCTTTGAATAATAATAATTTTGTAAAATATTAATGATCTTTTGTTTCAAACAAATTTTGCTAAAAAAAAGAATATTTATATATGGTTCTTAAATTTTTTTAATATGTTATTTTTAATTATAAAAAATAGATATTGCAATTTGCAAAATTTTAATTAGATTCATAGTGTATTCCTTTTTTATTATTTCAGATCTAAAACATCTGTTATCTAGAATTTGTAAATTACTTTTGAATTAAAGATTATAACTTTAAACATCAAGCAAGCTTCAGGCATCGTTAATTTTAGATTTACCTAGTAATACTATTTTTGTATGAAATAATTTTAGAAACTCACTTGATCATTTTAATGGATTAAATATTTAGTGCAAATGTGTAACAGCTTGGACTTTTTTCTCTGGAAATGTAAGAATAGTCTTTGTCTTTAAATATGAACAACAATCATTTCACATCGAATCAGAGTCGCCAAAATTGCGTGCACTAAAATCAAATTTTAGTTAAAAATCCACAGATTTCTGTTCTTTACAGGTTCATCCAAATCTTGCTGTAGTTTATGAATTTCTTCCTAAAAAAGCCTCTTTTATACATACATACCAGATCGAACTACTGATACATCTTGACGAATTCTCGCGATTCATCCTTCAGCGTATTTACTCAAATTTACTGGAATTTCGCTGAAGCGTGGAACACGAATGTAAACGACAGTAAGTGACATTTACGTAAGAACCAAGTTGTCCGCTGAACGTTGCCATGGCAAACCAGGTCCCTGCGAAAATATCACTTAGCACAGTATTTACGCGCGAATACCACACTTCTTTCCAGGAGACGCGGGGAGAGACCTCTTTTCTTTACTTTGCATCTTACGGTGCCCTCGCGGACGTGCTCCAGAACACGTACCACATGTTACTCACGCGCAGGTACTCACGTTCGTATTTGTCGTCGTCCGGGATGCGTTCGACCTGCGGGCCAAGTCACGACTGGACGACAAGAGGCGCTCGGAGAGCTCGCTTCGTCGTGGCTCCCACCTTCTCGACGTTCTTCGAGATCGTCGAGGACGACGTAGGGGCCGTCTGCGATCCCTACCACTGTCGTACGCCATCGTATACCCCTCCGTACGGATCTGTGAAAACGTACACCGGCCACCGCCCGCGGATTATCTTTAGATCGCGGACGCGAATGACGGATGTGCGTGCGTGCCGAGTATTCTATTCCGACGTCAGGGGAGGATAATGAGAACTGTTGCGAAAAACGACATGGTGAACGGAAAACTCCCGATCGGCCGTTGACGGTGTCCGCGAAACTCGGACAAAGTCAAAGTCGCGAGAAATTCCCGAAACGATGTTTATAAAGATTTATAATAAGGTGTTGAGAAGCCCAGCATCATCTTCTAATGGACTCCGAAATATCATATATATATATATATATATATATATATATATATATATATATATATATCTCTGCTGCCAAATATCCTTCTAGCTTTATAACGTATATATTCTAATATACGTATATTACAATATCACATAGATTATATTATATTATATTCGAGTATCATGGTATTCTGTCATCATGTTCTATGATAATTTTGCAATTTTATCGAATTTTTGATGGGAAATTTATCACACCTTGTGCTTTTAATGTATACGTATAAATAATTTCTCTTAAGATTATTTTATTTTTCTATCAAGATAAAGTGCAATTAAAAAAAAACAAATAACGAACAAAATTAAAACAGTACAAAATTAAACAAAATTTTGGAGTGGATTTTTTAGATTTATTATCAACATAAATAAAAAAAATTTAATAAAATAATTTTATTAACATATATTATGATTTATTTATTGATCATATGCTTCTTACTTTGATCTTAATCATCTACTCGAAGAAAAAAGATTATCGCGGTATTATGAGTAACGTTTAAAATCGATTTTTTTATATTGCGATCGATTTATTTATCTATAAGTGGAGTGAGAGTACAATAGCGAGAGAAGATTGACGTAAACTTTCGCAAAAGATATCTCTGTTTTCGATAAGAAAGCGCTAAGAATCAGCGCTGATAATTTTGGCATTGGGGTCAATTTATAGGTACCTCACCCGATCTTCTTGAGTTAACTCGTGTCATGGTCAAGCTATTATGACTCGGAGCTCTGTTTTTTTTCCTCTCTTTAAAAACGCGTAACAATAATTCAAATTGACTAGGACCAATTGCTGATTCAATTCTAAAAATCGAACGATATTAAATTGCACTTTTTCGCGTCTGCGACGAATGCAACTTTCTGCAATAAACATTTTTACGATTGCATAACGGAAAATTTGCAGTAAAGATCGAATCTAATTTGCGCGAATTTTTTGCGCAAAATCGCCAGGCATAGCACGCTTTGCGTAAGATTGGCCGTTATATCTCATCAGTTACACAGTCATCGGTTCGATTCAGTACCATATAAGGAAAAAGTAGGTAAGGGTCCCCCCGACAGCCTTGACTCATATACGGTCGGATCTCTCGAAGCACTTGCTCGAGGTATACTTGCCTGTGTACTCTTTTTAAACACCGATCATACGAAGAGATCGATAAATGCGATGTACAAGCATCGGCTTGTCGTGCAATCGAAGTCGTGCTCATCGAAGCAATCTAAAAACGGCGCACTAGAATATATTTTAAAATATAAGTTATATTTTTAACTTTATTGCGTGTTATAAAAGCGTCTTTCGTGTTTCAAAAATAATTACTGTCATATAATATTTATTTTCTCCATTTTTTTATTACTTAAATATATAAGACAATTATTAAAATAATATTAAATATACAATAAAAAATGCAATTTCTTTAATTGATAATATTCTCAAACTTATACAGAAAATATTTCCTAAAATAAAGACAATGTATGGTACATCTTAATTTCATACAATATTTCTTAAAATAAAGGATCTCCCACATTATCCTGAGTAATGCTTGCATTGTTCATTTGTAGTTTATTGCTGCATAAAAAGTTAAATATAGATCTAGATATAAGCGAAACTAGCGCAGACAGTTTGAGAAAGTATGCGTTTACCGCCCGTTACAAATTAGGAAAATGCGATCATCGTCTCGCTTGGCAAAAGAGCTAATTACTAATCGAGATTATGATAATTATGGTTCTAATGAAAGAATTAGAAGATTATTCTGGGATTAAAGCTGCTTATTTATTTCCTACAGATGCATCACTTAATATTTATGTACGAAACTCTCGAAAAAAGTGGGTCTCCTAAGAATTAAGAATACATCTAACGGAATCGTGCGTTATGTAACAACGCGCTACCGTGCTTTTTGGGTACTCGAAATATTCTGAGTGAAAGTTAAATTACTCCATACCAAAATATTTTTCAGCATTTCAACGCGATCGATTAATTCTGTTGTAAATTAACAGTCTCATTGACCGTTTTATTCGTTCGACCAGTATGCAATATATCGCGTATACATTGTGAAATACTTACCTTATGCAGAATATATTGCAGCCATCGAATATATTGAAATTCTGTCCTAATTCTGCTTCATCGATGAGCCTTTATAGGCAAGCTGAGTCATCTTAACCATCTCGTTAGCTCTTGTACTTGCTTTATTGTACTTTGTTAATTTCGCAGATAGCTTCTTTTTCGACGCTTATATAGGATCACTTTAATTAAAGTAATAACGATAATGACATCGTAATCCGAGATAATGTGAAATTCGTCGGCTTAACACGGAATATTTAATGACATTAATATTAATTATACTATCCTTTCGTATAGATAAATTTTGAAAGCGAAGTTGTGCTGGAGTTGTGCATTATGTGACATAAATTTTTGTGTGTTCATGCTTTTATTCTTATCTTGCTTCGGATACTCACCGTCCTTTCTGCAGTAATGTTTTCACGTTACAATCTCAGAGCGATTCAAGACTAATGGCTTAAGCTAATATGTGTCGATAGATATGATAAATTATATAGCGTTACATTACGTGACGAGGCAGATTCGGGATTCTTTCTGACGGGCAAATACAAAAAAATGAAATCATTTCCGTTATAAATAAATAGGACGCAACAATAATTTATTCTTCGTTATCGTACATCATGGGCTGAAGTAAACTATCCGCCTAACGAGGTATCAAGATATCGCGACAATATCGCAAGAAAAAAAAATGCAAGATATCACACACGATCGCGCATATATAACAATTGTTCGATAACAAGCGTATTTGTGAGAAACAGAAGATTACTTTGTTAAAATTTTTTTAAATTTTTAGTAGCTTGTAACGAAAAGAGAGACTAATATATTGACTACTTTTGTTTTTAAAGATTATTTTACTTTTTAAAGATTATTTTACCTTTCGAAAAATCTTTTAATTTGTTCACGAAATGCGCTTGTTGGCGAATATTTTGCAATCTGTTATATATTTGGATACGTGCGCCATTTTTTTTATATGTATATATATATATATAAATATATCTATTTTTTACACACGCAAATAATATCTTTGTGTAAATATGTACAGATGGAACATCGGAAGTGACACTTGAATAAAGTTTCAAGCGCGCCGAGTCCTCACATAAATATCACGCAAATTACATTTTAATTGTTACGGATAATGAGATTCTTTCTTGTGTAATATTCATTATATAATTGAATTTTATTACTATTTTATATATTATTAACTTTACAATATGTATATAATATGGTTATTGGCCTCTCATTCTACATTCTACATTCGCATGTTATACTAATTGAATGATTAAATCATTAAAATAATAATATTTTTTTACTAGAAAAATTGTATATTTTTCTTGAATTTATGTATGAGAAAAGAATTTACTATTAACAATTAATAAATAAATAATTAGTTATAAAATTTATCATTTAAAATAATATATGTTCTTCGTCATGTGCCGATTCTTTTACTCGTTTGCAATTTAATTATTTTATCTTTAATTTGTGTGATATTAATTACTTTGATTTAATATAATATTATACTATTTTATGTCAAAGTAAAAGGAGAGATTCAAAGAAATTTACATTCTGTTATGAAAGATCAATAACCGTATCTCATTTATCTTCCTTGATTATTGCATAATTATACTTATATCTTATTCAATTTTTTCTACAATTTAAATCTATTTTAAAATTATTCCCAAATTATTTATGGACTATGAGCATCCTCTACCACGCTATTGCGAGACATCGTGTCATATTCGCGCGTTTGCTTTTTATTTTTCGAAAGATAATTTTAGTTACAATTAGTTTTAATACCACGTGAACGAGAAACACGAAATAATAATTAGAATAATTCACTTATAATGATACAAAGAACAAAACTCAAATTGAAAATTGGAAACCTTAAAAGATTATGAGATCGTAAAAGGAATGTTTCTCAAATTAATTTTTTTTTTACACAAAATTATATGTACACAAAATTCTTATTAACATTTTCCTATTACATGCGACAGTTTGCTAAATTGAGTGATTTAGATAAGATCGAGAATGCTCAGATTTACACAAGAATATGCAGGAATTATGCAAGAATTATGCAAGATTTTCGAGACAGCGTATTTATGCATATGGAATGATAACGCAATTATCGGAGCAATTTTAATGGCAGAGATACGAACAAATAACAGAAACTTGCGCCTATTATGACAATTAACTCGTAGCAATTGAGGCAAGTCTCGTATTAAAATATCTATGCCAAGATCAATTGAGGTAATTGCTAGTTACCGCTAACACCTCCCACTGCAATTTGTATCTCAGCACTTACGATCTCTGCTCATTCATGTTTCGCGGATGTATTTCCCGGAAGACATCCACCATGTATTAAATACATCTAAACGCTATCGAATGACAAATTATCTTCCGCAATCAAGACACATATGTATTTTAATAAGATAATCTATAAATAAAACACCGCTCACTCGACTCGTTTATACTCACGATTTTATAATTATTGCATTATTTCGAGACCGTAAGAATAAAAAAAGAATGAAAGATCTTTAAAAGATCTATATAAAAATAGTACCAGATATGAAAATATGCAATTTTCGCAAATAAATTTACGGAAATGCCCTGCGTGCCCGTTGTGTATATTTGAAAGCCACGAGAAAATATCTTAATTAATATACGAGGCAGTACGAATAAGGTAGCAAAAGAGAAAAATAAATAACTTAAACGTAGTGCGCTCGTTTTTTTTTCTTCAGATATTATTGCTATAATTCATAATTATCGAAATTTAAACATGATTTCTTAATTTTAATTCTGTTACAAGTATCTACTTTTAGTCACTTTGCAAAAATTCTAAATGGAACATAAAGTGGAATTAATTTTTCTCTCGATATAAAAATGATATATCGATAGCACTCTGTTAATTCCGAGCACACTTTGCTTAATTGCTATATGCGTTTAAACTTACATCAAACTTAATACTAGTATTTTTTTTCATACATTAATTCCAGAGATTTCTACAAATGCACCAACTGCCCGTCAGGCCACAGTCATATTTGTGTCCCGCAATCATTTTTCTCGCTCTCTTTTCACTTTTTCTACAACTACCTCCGTTCACTTGTTTATAGATGAGTCTGAAAGGGAGCAAATAAAGAAACCAGGATAAGAAACTCGTTAAAATAAAGTAAAAATAAAGTGGATCGAGGATAAAAAGGATATAAAGCACTACAGATAGCAATCTTCTTAAGACAGTTGATTTAATGTTTTATAATGATAAAATGTTTCAACAGTTCAAAATTCAATGATTGAAATTTCGGTATTTAGTAGAGAGCGTCATTTTTGAGATAATAATATTAAATCTCTCTTTTAATAATGATAAAATATATACGATTGCAGTAAAGAGAGAAACGTCAGTAAAAAGTGTAATGATGCGATGCATACAAGAATCAATATTGTACATCGCTCGACGACGATAATATCAATAATCATAAAAATAATTATAATTACTTTATTTAAATAATATATATGTATATTTATATATTGCCAAACATTCTCGATTAAGTGACAGATTCATTCCTGACAACACAATTGAAGAGTCGCTTCGTTACTGAAACTAATTAACATTATTATATTAGTTTTTCGGACAGATAGGAATGGACTAGATGTCGTGAATTCAGTTAGCAATATATTTTTTTCTAATAACACACTAACGTCGAAGGTTATAATTAATTAACAATTAAGAGGAAAAAGCGCTCGAATATCTCGTTTAAGCTAATGCATAAAGTATCAAGCTTTAAAATCGATACAACTAGTCCATCGCTATCGATTACCGTATACATGTGATTTCTCAACCCAGCTTCCATCCCCAATTCTTAAAATATTATATACATACACACACATGTATATATATATATATATATATATATATATATATATATGTATGTATATATATATATTGTGTATTTATAAGTCCATCTAAATACCCAGGAATCATTTCAATCGCAATGTTATCTGATATCCAAAGACAAATAATACAAAAAAATAGTAGAAAATGCAAGAATTAAGAAATATAATTCCTATGAATACACTTTGCAGATATTGGAGACTCAGAAATAATATTATATTACAAAATAATATATTATTCGTGTTTTACAATAAGTTGGTGATGAAGTTCTATCAACTCTTGCTTAGAGTCGAAAATAATTTGAGCCAATAGAAATATTAATTAAATCAGTGGAAAATAGATTCTCAACATCTCTTCATTAATCATTAAATATTATCACAAATTAAATTCAAGCATACCCATAGACTTATTCTAATGTTAGTGATTTAAAAAAAATAATACAATGATAATACTTAATGATTAAAAATTTTACTAATATATTAATATATTAAATTTGTAAATAGTACTGTTCATTGACGGATAAAATATAAGACTAAAAAAAATTCATTCACTTTGATGACAGAATTAAACGAGATGACAGAATAAAACGAGCAAATGCGGAAGTGGAAGAGACGCATGGATTAATAGATCACAATAAATATATGTCTTCGTTAAACCGATTGCCTTTTATCGAATTGTTGGCACATTTATACGATTAAACAATATCATAAATGTCTGCGACTTAATTTTACATTTGATTCTCAGCGATCATCATGCCTTCACCAATCAAATAAATGCAACGCGCATAAAATTATGCAATATACGTATGTTTGCTATAATTTCTTTTTAATAAAACCAGATATTTTTTGTTCATTATTTCTTTGAGTATTAATGCATAATTATATCCATATGATATGTGTCAATGTTAATAATAAGTGAAGGTAGAAATTGTGAAAATTTAAGTACATTTATCTTTAATTTTTTTGTTTCCAATCTTATTTTGTTAAAATTGCGAATTCATTTCGATTACATCTTATTGTTGCATCTATATAAATGACATCTACAAAACAATAACATTATAATAAGAACATTCATCAATTAATGCAATATCATTGTCTCTGTATTATTTTATCTCTATATATCATATACATTACCAAGAACATTATTAATTTAAATATTAAAAAATGTTATACATTTTATGTTTAAAATTCTTTTACACAATCAGCTTTATGATAAAATTATTAATAATTTCTTTTACAACATATCATATTCTTTGACATAATTCGACAACATTTCAGATCTGAGGCTTCGGACGTGCTCGATTATATGCATATTTTACGCATATATTATAGTTTTATTGATTTCTTGCAAACATCTATAAAAAATAATTTATATTAAATCTGATGGACTCTGCGTGTGTCATGGTGCTTGACGTCGAACGTTTAATGCTCTTTGCATGTTCCTCATAATCGCGACGTGGTTCGAATTATCGCGCTTCAGACTCGTCCTGATTTGACGATAAAACGAAAAGGATGCGCTTTGCTGCAATTGATGCTGTCCGTCTTGGCTGGTTCGCCTCTGAATAATTCGAATACAGAAAGATATGTCCTATATTTATTTTTACTTACTCGGGCGTATGTTTAAATATGCGTACATTTCAAGAATTTTCAAAAATTTTATTAAAAATGAAATATTTTTGATTCATTATTAAGAATCGTTTCTATTTCAGTCTTTCAATTTCTTTTAAAGATATACGTATATCAAGCCAATTAAGAAATGAGCTACAAATTAAATTATATGTCATCTGTAAAACTTATCAAGATCTTTAATCTTATTATATCTTTAATGTAAATATGAATGTAGTAAGATCAAATTAAAAATAAATAAAAATATAATTATATACATTGATTATTAATTAATTATTGGTAATATATATTTTTGACTAATAATTATATAACACAATAAAAGAGATTGCTAGATTTTTAATTTAATTTTTAATTTGTAACTTGATAAAGCACATTGATTTATTTGACTACATGATCGAAAAGTTATAAAACAAATGTTATTCACGAGTGGCATCAACGTCAATTTTGTATAAGCACACACGAAACACACAGAGAAATATCTGCGTATAACATATCATTTGGCGTTTGCAAGCAGAAAAGATTTATATTAATCAAGAAGGAACATGCGTGATTCGAACACGAAAATCGCTGAAAATCAGGTTAAAAGAAAACTTTCAAAATTATAAACAATGTCTCTTATCGTTTTCACAAAAGAAAATGATTAAACATTATGTTAGAACAATTTCAATATTTCTAAGCAACGTAGCATATTTTTCGCGCATTCCATTTTGACATTCGACAATGATCTTCTAATTTCTTTCTGAATTTTTTCGCGTGAATGATTAAGAATTATTCTCAATTCAAATCCCAAAATATTTAATTCCCAGGGATATGTTAAAAAAATATTACGCTTTCGAAATTGTTAACGTTGTTAGTAATATGTTTATAGAATCGGGATCCTAACAATTACGATAATAATAATACCCACCAGAGGGATATCGAATTAACAAAGCTACTGTGTGTCATGAAGCTATCTCGGCAGTAAAATCTGCAGCCACGGTAAAATTTTAATAATTGTCGTGGATTTCTCATCGACTTTGCCCGATAATGCAAATCGATCTAGCCCATAAAACATCATTTGTAACATTAATTATTACTCTTATTTATCGTTGTACATGTGGTCTCTGTTAAAAGATACAAATCAAGTTTTTCATTGGAATGCGTCAACAAAATTCGCCCAAATGCTTTTTCAATTGTTAAAATATACGGTCCCATATTTGTGAAAATACACGACGGAATGTTGCGATGTACAAAATAAAAGGTACTTTAATAATAAGATATCGAGATGTATGTTAGCTTTGATTCTCTTCAAAGCGTTCATTCCGTTACCGAGATGCGGTGAGATTTTACCGCCAATCATATATGTTACATCGACTGTTTAGAAGCATTTTATAATAATAATACGTATAATTGAACAACATTTTGGCCTTTCAAAACGTTCGCGATAACTCTCACGTACTATTATAGCAACGCGATTACACATCTGAATGCTACTACGAAGTATTGTACGTACACGGCACTATAAATTTATCTTTCTTTCCTCGCCAATTGTCCTCATCGCGTCGTATTATTATATATAATACAGCACCGGCAAGGCAATATTTCCGAAAGCATAACCTGATTCTGATGAGCGTTGAATATATATCGTGAAGAAATTTAAACTAAGTCTGTGTTTTATTTGCAGATTTAATTCCCACTAGACTTCTACACTTCTGGAACATTGGAAATTTTCTCCATATTGTGAATTTCTCCTTCTCTCTTAGCAGAATATATCATATGTGTCATCATCTATTATATATAATCTTACACTTTCGCTTACCAGTAGCAATATTTTCAATAGCTTCGCCTTTATCCTTGTCAGTACATTCAATCTATTATTAGTTTAATCTTCTATGCGTTAGAAAATGTTTTGCTTAGGGAAAAAGAAAATACACATATATACATATATTTTATCGTGTCAAAAAAAAAAATTAAAATTATTATGCAGAAATAAATTAATAAACGCTTTTGAAGAAAAAGACGAAGAGAAACGTTATGTTGTTTTTCAAAATGTTACACGTTTTAAATTCTTCTATTAGGATCATGCAATTGCTACGATTAGAATATACCAAATTCATTACAAAAGGTTCTATTTTTTATCAAAAATTCATAGCAAGATTCGGAGATATAAAAAATACTTCTCTCTTTTGTTTCTTCAGACTATTTTATAAACGGTATCATCCAAAGCTCATCAGAATTCGGGAAGAATACCCGAGACGGTTCCTTTGCGGGTACACACGCACGTTGTATATTTATAATATGTATACACGGTACACATTTTTCTGCGTGTGTGTACATATGTGTATGTAGATACATACAGAGATAGACAGAACGTGTGAGACACATATAGACACATGTACATAACACTAACTACATATCGCAATAAAAAGGAATCGCGCGGGCTTCCTGCTAGCCGAACACTATGCGCAAGCATATTTATCTTATTTATTTACAATCGCTCCATTTCTCGTCGTGCATCCATTTAATATTCAATATTCAAATGCTTATTGCATTGACTTCTCTCACATAGTGAAACTTACGGTATCAATTCATCGACGGCGACGACTCGATTAGGAAAAAGACCCATGAATCATGTGCGGATAATAGATACACGTGAAAACGTCTCGAAGTGAATAAAATGCCATTTTCCATCATTCTTCTTAGGAATGTATAATCGCTTACTTTCTACTTCTTGATACATAATTTTCACGACTTATTTTGTTCTTTTATCTTATGTCCTAGATAGACCTTTTGGTGCTTTTTTGTCTTCTTACTTTCTTACAAATATTTCAAAATAAATTTCTAACTTTAAAATCTTTAATCCTTTTGGCATTGATTTAATTTTCCTTCTTGATAAGAAGGTAATACGAAATAAATATGTAATAATTAAAGATTTATACGCCGAAATAATAAAAGCAATTTAAATTACGCTATTCTCAGTCTTTATCGAAAGTCTATGAAAACGCGACGCTTCTTGATGAAATTCTTCAAATGGCATTCCAATCACTTCCCAAGTCGATTCCAGCAATGTCGAAAGCGTTATCGAGTACTGTAGGCCGACGATTATCACGTTCTTGATAAATATATGTAACCACAATGATATTGACTCTCTCTTTATACCCAGGAAGATTTAAGGATGCCCATAAAGATATCGAAAGTGTTCCCTTATCATAACGAGAAGCACATTCGAGTGAAATAATCGCCCCTCCTGTTTATGTATACAGATATACATGTCGATATCGGATTAATAATAGAAGTCGTGGACCGAGACGAGCGATCTTTATATCGAAAATGCACGTTAATGATTGAAAATTGCGTTAAGTACAAGCACGTCCATAACGAAATATAAACGCATGAAAATCAAATAGTTCTTGAGCTTGTAATCAAGAACAAATCGCAATATTCGCCTCGATCCTCGATGAAGCTATTCGTGCTATCTTCCGTTTTAACCCTCAAGTAGTCGTGCTATTAAATGTTTAAATGTACAAATTATCATATATAATAATTGGAGGTATTTATAAAGCAATTCCTTAATATCTAAGGTATTAAATAAAAAGCGTATATATATATAAAAGTAGAAATAACTATAGAAAAGAAATTTTCTCGAATATAGGAAAAGAGAAACCAGTAGCAATAATAATAATGATAATAAAAGACAAGAGTAATAAAGAAATGAAGAGAGACAAGAATTTTAACAAATAAAGCATAGTCTCTTGCGAGGACGATTGCACAAAGTGTGAGTACCAATAATGGCAAACATATCATTGATAAAATTAGCACTTGAAAAGCAAGTTACACCGCGTTAGCAACTTATTCTAACGCGACCAATCAAGGGTTAAACCGCATACTTTGCTGTCTGTAACCATTCTATGTCTCCTTCGCAGCCACTCACTCGCACATTCTCTCTTTCTCACTTTCACTTCAGAAGATTCGTCGCTACGACGGTGCAGATCACCCACAGCACGTTGCACACGAAGTGACGAAGATTAGTGAAGAAGGACGAGAGTCGTGCATTCTCACTCGCGCTGCAGTATCTCCTGATTCAGGAAAATAGACAAAGCGTTCAAACAGTCTGACTCTCTCGCACAGAGCGTTCCAAAGCAGCTGTTCGTTTCTGTCAGAATGAATTTCATGAGTTAAGAAAGATCTGCTTTCGACAAGAGAGTAACTCATAACTGTTTCTCTCTCTATCTATCTTTCCCTCGGAATTAATGAGTATTTTCAAACTATTTTAGTTACCGATTAATTGTAGACAATCATGAGAATTATACTCTGCTTCCTTTGTACTTCGTAAGTATCTCTACGATATTTTTTTTTTGTTAAAAATATATCCGATTAATATCACGTTTTGAACGGGCACTATTTCTTCGAGAAGCGAAAAACGATTCGTGTAATATAAATCATGCTGATGTGTATACTTTGCGCGCATATTTTTGTGTTTCGTCAGTCGACGGTGGCTTGCGATAAAACATTTGTTTACTTTTCAATAAAGTGCGTGTCGCAGCATGATGGAGAATATCGTCGTCGCGCAAATCATTTAAGCGATGAACGTCTCGAGAATATCGACAATTGCATCATTTCCAAAAATGTGCTGCTATTTAAATTTTATAACAAAATGGTTTGGCTTCTTTTGGAACGCTCCATGCGGATCGAGGATTAGTCAGTTCATAGGGAGAAAAATTTATTCCTGGAAAATCCAGGACAATTATTCGAGGGGACGTTAAACGGGTTTAAAGCCGCTGACAGCGCGATTATCACTCGTTAGGTTTTTATCATCGTCTATCTTCGGTTAGGCTAATCCCTGTGGTCACACTCGATAAGAACACGTTCGAATAATTCGATCAATCGGCCACTGACAATAACGAACTTACCATCTTGTATAAATCGTCTGTTTGTGGAAATATACAGCAGCGGCAACAGATCAAGTCATGATAATATTAGTGCGATTATAAGTATTCATAAAAAGCACTATTTATAGCGATAAAATATAAATGAAATAAACGATACTTATTTATAAATAAAAAGTTATGCTTCAATTAATATAATAATGACGACTATATTAATAAAATTATTAAAATGAAGGTACGAAAAGATAGTAATTATTACAAAATAAACCTTTTTATTTCAAGAGTTGATTTTGTAATTTTATATGGCTCATGTTATGTGCATTTTAAGTATAAAATATATGCATATAATTTTTTTGTAACAATATTAACATGATTCTCTGTTGCTTGCTCTGTATCTTTTGTGTCCGATCGGTCGGTAAAATAAATAAGGACTCACCATTTCGGTCGTGAGACTTGCTAGTGCTTCTTCTACGGTGGCAGCGATCCTTCCGCCGTCATCCTGACGCTGATTACCTTTGATCGGCGTCGTCGGGCAACCTAAAATTATCGTTAATCGTCATCGTGCAAAAAATAATGTTAGACCTTTTAGAGATTGCCCATAACGAAAAATTGTAAAGCCCATAAGTAAAAATATTCCGAGTTTTATTCTCGGGAAAAAAAGTGAAAAAGCAATCGCAACTGCGAGATTGAGAAATCTCGAGAAATTTTGTAGCAGCTTGAAATATTACATCAAAACATATGCGCGTAACATCTGTATAAATGTCTTATTTAAATAGCTTTATGAAAATTGATTTCTAGGGCCTCTGTATCTCTCTCCCTTTTCTCTCGAGGTTTCGCAATCTTTGGATCGAATCACGAAATGTTGAGAACATCGTGCATTCTACAAATCGGGACACGCATAAGGAAAAGCATGTGAGTTAATTGCTTGCGTGAATGAATATAGTGGAAAAAGATATAGATAAAAGAAAGATCGAAACTTATCTCGTAGCCCAGCGATTCCAAGCAATCGTCGAAGCTCGAAAAATATATATATCAGTAAAAATAGAAAAATAAAATCTGTGTGTAGACAGGATCTGATGAAGAGTGACGAGAGAGTGAAGTTTCGTATTCCTTTTTTTCATATTTTCTCCTTTATTATCTTTTTCTTTCATTTGTCGTAAAATTATCTTAATCATCTTAATAAGACTTCCTTTGACTTAGCTATATAAAAAGCATTCATTATTTATAGGACTAGGCAAAATAATATTGAATTATTGCAAAATAGAGTTGTTTTCATTCTTTTTACTTGACCGATGTCACTTTTATCGATATAATTAATTTTTCTCATAATTAACACAGTAGAAGTAGAGCATTCGAAATGACTGTCAAATGCAATTATGCAACGTCATTGCTTTCATGGCAATCACTTCCGTGTCATGAATAGTAATATAATGCCCACATTATTATTCACATAGAATTAAACGAGATGGAATTATTTTGTCTCGAAATACAAAATTTACCATATTTAAATAATAATTAATTACTAAGTTTTTGCTTTTTGATTATCACATTCCATATGTTTCATATGTGTATATATGTGTATATATATAATTTTGATAGAATTAGATATATCGCTCTCTCTATAATTTCAAAAAATCACTTTCGAGAAATAGTATAATGAATAAAATATATGATGAATAAAATCAATAAAAATATATAGAATAAATTGAAAGAATTGGTTTCAATTCATATAACAATTTATTCTGAGTTTTGGTGTGTTAATGTTCATCTTATATTTTTTCTATTTACTCTATCGTTAAATAAAGATTCTATTATCTCAATGAAAAAATATCTTTCCTTCGACATTAAAAAAAATCCTGCGCTAGTTTGGCACTGGAATGTGATAACTGTTTGTGTTATGACATTGTAAAGCATGTGTTATGAATTTGTAAAGTTAAAATAATGGTAATGTAATGTGTGTGTACATATACGCTGTACACATTTTATAGCATAATTAAAAAATAATGTTTAATGTTTTGAATTAAAACTTTCATGACAATTCGTTGAATATATTCAATATATTCATACTTAATAGTTGTACTATATTGATATTTTGTGTTATAATTGTTATATTAATAAGATACAAAGAAATCCATCACCAACATGATCATCAATATTGTTGTATCATACAATCGATATCAGTCAAATATAAAGAAAGTCTATAAAAAGAAAACTTTAAATCTACAGAATTGGCATAATATACATATATAAATTCTGGGAAAGAATCGAATACTTCTCGCAAAAAATCAACATAAAAAAAATCTACAACAATCATCAACAACCTATAAAAAGCAGACTCAACATGACGAGAATCAACGTGACGCTCACGTTCGTTCTCGCAAATTTTCTTGCCAGAGCGTTCGAGTAGGTAGAAGAGGGGAGGAAGCTAGCGGCAGAAGAAGATGTAGCTGTAGTCCTCGTGGCAGTACTCTTCAGGAGCCGTAGTAGATGTTGAGCGCGTACAGCAACTTACCTATGTCGCCGCTGCTGGAGCTCTCGGTGAAGGATGGCGTCCCCTCAGTCCACGTGGGCGTCGAGCCCTCGGCGCTTCCGGCCGGTGGCGTCCACGTGAGACAGCCACCCCCGCGGCTGCTGCCTCCGCTCTCGACGCTCAACGATGACTTGGTTTCCCTGCCGCCACTGCCACTACCGCTACCGCTGCTCTCCAAATGCACGTCCGATATGCTATTGGAATAGATTTGTTCGAGATTTAATACCTAGTGGCCGAGGAACGAATATAATCATGTGTGTGATTAAATTAAAATCAAATAATACTAACATTTTCCTTTTCCTGAAGATGCCGTGATAAAGCAAAAGAAAGTCTTCGTTTAGATGCGTGCAAAGTGCAAAGATAAGCGTAAAATATATGTATATGTATATGTATCTCATAATCAATATCAATAATATATTATTAACATAAAAAAAAAGTTTAAAGACAAAGTGTAAAGACGATACATATGTATTTTGTCAATTATACATCCGATCAATCAGTAACATTTATTCTCGGAAATTGCGATTAGCATTCTCATTTCTATCGACTAATTATTGTAATCCAGATAAGCATACACGCAAAAAGTAATAGGTAATTTTTTTCTTGATTTCATGTTACTGATTGAAAATGAAGATAGATTAAAGTTGTCAACATTTAGTGTTATAAAAAAATCGTACTCACCTTACAGTGTCGTGATACGTCTTGGTGAGCGTAACATGATGAACAACCTTATTTTGTTTGGTATGAGCGGAACTCAGGCTGCTCGCGAGAATAGTCGCGCCGCCTTGTTGAAGATGACCACCGGAAGCCAGAGTTTGGTCGTTCGAGCGGACCGCGTCGTCAAAGGGCGGGGGTGGGGTGGAGCAGGTGGAAGGAAGGGTGCCACCTACAAAAAGCGCACTACAATTAGCCCTAATCGACACGCGATATTATTTCAAACGCTAAAATAATAGCAAGGGTGGAATGACGAAGAATAGATGGGATAAAGAATTTGTTTAGTGCAGAACATATTTATATGTACGCTAGTACTGAGATACATGTTTAGCGGAAAAAAATACGGTTTGCTTCTCGAAGCGGTTTTGGAAAAAATATATTTTTTATCGTGGCCTCCTGAGATACTGGTGCTTTCAAAAAAATTGAAAAATTTAGAAATATTTTGTATGATAAAGTATTTACCATCGTATCAAATTGCATCAATTTTTATATTTGTTAACAATTCGATTATCATGATAAGAAAATTATTAATTTAATATATTAATTTAAATTAAATTTAATATATTAATTTAAAAATTATCCATTTTTTACTATACATTTGCAGAGATTTAGAAATTGAATCAACAGAACAAATGGAATCATTCATTGAATATTGATTTAAAATGATTTAATTAGTCCAGTTTAAAATAGTAATGATATCTGCTCTAAAAATCTACGCGAGAAATTAACCCTTTTGCCTATCTACGCGTATGTATACGGTTGATGAAGCTTAGGATAAAAACAACTATAAATATTTGCAAGAAGAAAGACAATTAATACAAAGTTTATAAGCAATTTTATACGCAATAAGGAAATTATTCAGAGCAAAAAATTACATTTTCAACACTTGTTTAGAGACAACAAGCAAGTTAGCAAAGCTATTATTTCAAATTGTATAAATCAATTTATATCACGATAAAATTGTATTATTTATTGCACAACTGCGACTGTTATATGAAATTATTGCATTCTTAAAAATGCTGAAAATGTAAAACATTTTTAATAGAGATGCAATAAAAAAATAAAGCATCTATTCGAAATTAAAAAAAATAATTTCAAACTTTCATTAAATAATATTCTATCTACGTGTCAAGCTATACGTATAGTATGCAAGTGCAATAGCAAACAAATTATTTATCTAGGACAGATTGAATTTTACATGATACATCATCACGCATTGATATAGACACATGTATTACATCGAGATAAAGAGTCGAGGAATTATTAATATACATTTTATAAATAAAAAACTAAATCCTTCGAAATTTTTCGAGCCGATATACATAATACAATTACAAGTAAATAAACGCAATTAAATGAATGCTGAATCGTTAAAAAAGATGAGATAATAGAAAGATATATCATTACAAGAATGATAACAATGTAAGCAAAATTTCATTTTGTGTATAATACATTGCGTTTATTTGCTTGTTGATGAAAAATTCTACACATGCAAATTTTAATTTTAAAAAATTACTAAGGACGTTAATCAATCATAGATTGTTACGTATTGATAATTTTGCACAATAAACAGAGAATGATTTAGACTGTATAAACGATACCTCGTCGATGTCTTAAAATCGACTGACATTGAAATGTCGCAGACGTGGAAAAGAGATGAGGAAAATTGTCTATTAGTCAACGCAGATTATTTTCCTCTCAATGTCTATCAATATAATAAAATGAAGAACAATTAATAATAAACATGATATAATTTTCTTCGATATCCATCGATGATTACTAAAACATTGTTATCGATCTAATATGTGAAATCAGATGATGATATGCAGAAAATAATAATACTTGCGTTATCATGCGGCAGTGATAGTAAGGGAAAAATATAAATGTTTGATAAAAAAAAGAGCGACCAATGGAGGAAGATGAAAGCTATTGTTTTTCCTTATAAGGTTGCAATTCTTATAAAGCTGCCATTCTTCCTTATAAAGTTATAAATTCGAAACAATCCGATTGTGTTTATCGTTTATCGGATCGGAAATTGTTATCAACTTGGTGTTATCGAAACTCTAAGTCATCTGTTATATTATATCTTTTTTAAGGCGTAAGCTTCTTCTTGTTTTTACATTGCCAAGTAATTTTCGTAATAATCTAAAATTACTAGCTAGAAAATACATTTTTATGTAAACGATCGTGTCTTTCGATAAGTGTGTAAAAAAGAGACATTCGGTTTTATCATTCCAAATTCTTGCGAATTGAATGACAGATCGTTGCCACTCGAAAGAGATTTAAATTTTTCGTGTTTAGTATTTAATATTTCCACTGTCAATCCTATTTTTTCTTCTTCCTGATTTAATTGGGTTTTATTAGTCGACGGTGTAAATTTTTGCTTAATAATGTTGACTCCTCCTTCGTTTAAGTTGTACAAGCATAGCTCTTCTTGCTCAGGATTTCTTGTTTCGTCTCTCGCTTTGATCTTCTCGAAACTTTTCACCTTCTCAGAAACGAAAGACTTCAAGACGTTGCTATTTTTAATGTCGAGACTGGAAGATATAAGTGTTTCGCTCTTAGCTATTTTTAGCAATTTATCTCGATTCATATCTTTCGGATTATTTTTTTTAATATCAAATTCAAATTCTGAAGAGTCTTCGTATTTTCTTAATTTTTCATTAGTTTGTCGATCAAAGTTACTAATTCGTTCGCGGACTATCTTCTTTTCATCTTCAACGCGACTGCCTTTCGGGAAGATTCCTTTAAATCCACTTCTTTTATTCCCCTGTTGGTCGTTTATAATTTTAGAGATATTCTTGTCACCAAAATAATTGCTATTTTTCGTAGAAGAATTCTTCATCTCAAAAGATTTATCGCATTTGATTGTTGATTGTCTCCTGTCACTTTTAATATTTTTAGTATCATTTTTTCCCTGAATCTTATCGTTTTTTTTCGCTTGGAAATCGATTTTTGAAAAGAATCTTTTATCTTCTTTTTTCTCTTTTGTTTTTTCAGCTTCGTCAAAACTTCCATTAAAAGTTGCAGAGATTTGTCGCTTCGGTTTCGGTGCGAGTCGTTTCTTTCTTTTAGCTTTCTCTCGGATCTTTTGCAGCAATATGCTATCCTTGTTAGCGAATCTTGAAATTTTTTGCTTAACCGATTCTTCAACAAATTTATTCTTCGCGTAAAATGATGCATCCGTAGCTTTCGCATGTCCCATTGACTTACGACGATACGACATCGTCGTGATAGTCGTGATAGACGCCTCGAGGTCCTTCTGCTTCCTCTTCATCCTCTCGTAGTATGTCTCGGAGTGCTTCTTGTCTTTTCGCGACATCTTGTAATCCATCAGGTCGCCTCGAGAACTTGGATTGAGAAAGTACGTAAATTTCGCTAGACGATCCATCTTGATGCTATCTCTCCTCTCTTTATCTCTCCTGGGAACTTTACGATTTCCAGCTCCGCCGAATTCTCTCCAGCGATCGGATCGGTAAATTCCTCTATCCGGTCTGAAAGGATGCGGACTGGTCTTGATGAAGTAAGCATCCTCGACTTTCTCCACGCTGACGAATTCCTCATTCAAGTCCTGGATATACCAGTCCATCGGCCGATCATCGCTTCCGGTCTCTCGGTCGAAACTGTCGTGGTGCGTGACGCGATACGTGTCGAGTGTCGATGTACGGGCATGCAACGCGTTCGAGATCGCGATAGTTTTAGTAGAAGTAGCAGCGGTGATAGTAGAGGTCACAGTGTTAGCGGTGGTAGCGGAAGAAGTAGAGGGAAGATCGGGTGGGAGCGGGCGGTGCAGGTCGCACGAACTGTCATGCAAGCGGTATCTCGTGATTATGGCTGCTTCATCACCTCGGCTGGAAGTCACCGATGACGTCGTCGAGGCGGTGGCACCGGCCGTCCGGTGCTCCTCGGAGGACCTGCCGGTCCTCGAGGGGCCCGTGCCCCGCGGCGGCACCGGCGGCGGGACCTTGCCGGACGGCACCAGGTTCGGATTCGGCGGACTCGCCGCGCTCCTACCCTTCAGCACGGCCGGGTAACTCGTGACCTTGACCGTGGGGGCGGCCCCGGGCGGATGCTCGTGCGGATGCGGGCCCTGACCGGCGGCTAAGGTCAACGGTGGCGGGCTCAACGGCCCGGCGGCGGGATTAACCGGGGTCGAGGTGGCGATCGGTACCGAGCCGCTTGTGACCGCCGCGTTCGTCGCGCTGATCGTAGAGTCGGGCAGGCTAACTGCTACTCGTTCGAGGTCGTTCGTGGCCGTCCGGGGGAGTTCAACGGTCGAGGGAGTCGCGATGTGCAGCGTCGTGATGGCGCGGGATGGGGATAGAGAGAGAGGTAGGCAAACAGAGAAAAACAGAGAAGCCGGATGAGAGAAATCGAATGATCTGGAGAACCGTGCAACGTTCATTCTTTCCTGACCGAGTTCTTTACGAGAATTATCGTAATGCTTTTTTTATAAATACGTACTACAATTTATCGTAAGACACAGGGTGTATCTGAAATGATGCACTAAACTTTGGGTCCGCAAATGAACCCCCCTCCGAGCTAGAGGCCCCTAAAGTTTGGGGAAAAATTGAAAATTGGCTGTATTATGGATCGCTTTATTATTTGACCTTAATTTTGACGTTACCTCTCACCCTCTCTTGAGAGATAAATAAATTTACACTGCGGGTATTTGATCAATTTCACACATTTTCGAATTTTAGTTTGGAGGGGGATTTATTTGCGGACCCATGTTCATAAGAAAAAAAAGTCTTATTTTGACCTCTAGCATAAAGTTTAGTGCATCATTTCAGATACACCCTGTATAGATATATGTATGTTCATAATTAAATAGCGAAAAGTATGCATGCGATCAGTACAATACATGAAGTATATTCTTGCTATAATTATTATGTATAATAATGTAAACATGTTATTCTATAATTTTCTCGCGATTTACGTTGCACAGTTCATTCGACAAATTATTTATTTGCGATTTTAATCAAGCGATAAATGATACATGATTGACAAATTTGATATCATAATACGAAACTCTCTTTCTGATCAAGAAACAATTATTTAATCATTTTATTGATTAAGACTTTAAATAGTTCAGATTCATTATAATATAACAAAAAACTTATACGACTCTTTAATATTAGAAATTTATCATATTTATCATATCCTCTGTATTTACTCTCTGAGTAAAAAACGCGCCTATTGTGAGCGTCTATTCCGAAAAATAATAGGGTACATTTTTCGCGATATAATTTTGAGAAATATAATAGTTTCGCATGAAAATGAACAACTATACATTAAGGTAAACTGAGACTCACCGGCTTTCGTAGGTGACGTAGCATGCATTGCCGAACCTCCAGTTGCCGCCACCGCTAAACCACCATACAACACCATGTACCATTACCGTACTTGTCACGTGTGTCCGACTCTTAATTGGACAGAGAAACTCGCCACGGATTTCGAGGGTGTCCAAACGCGAAAGCCATTCAATGCCAAAAGCGCGTTCAAGCACGAGATCTCGTCTTCAATGTCACGAAATCTCTTCACCGTAGGGTTCGAAAGCGTTATAATGTCAAGGAGAGTATTATTGATGCTGCGGATGAGGAAAAATTAATATTTTTCCAGCATAAATATAGGAATTATTTTCGCGCATCTGTAGCATCGAAATCATGATTATATCATCGATAATAATAATTCAAACCCTGTTTTATTATAAAAATCGGCGTTCGTTGCGTTGTCTCAAGCGTTTTCCATTCGCAGCGTGGGCGAAGCACGATAAAAGCGTACCCTGCCGAAATCTCGCGGTCGCAGTTTCTCTGTCGTCTCGTTGACCAAAGGAGTCCCGAGGCAGAACCAGGATTCGAGCAAAGGACGTTTGTGTAACAGGAAGAAATTAAACATTTGACTGACATTCACGATATAAAGCTGCTTTGGACGATTGCATTAATGAAAGGACTAATTAACAAGGACACGAGGATAGATAAAGTACGAAGTAAGTGCAAAATCTCGTGAATTAGTGAAATTATTTTGCTAGGTGAAATATAATTTTTTTACCAGGTGAAATATTCAATTTTAATAAAATATGAAATTGTGATTGTATATATATTGCTTCTGTACAATATATAAAATTCTGCATTTAATATTTACACTAATTTTACCATCGTTCGTTGTAATTTGAGTGTTGAAATGTACATATATCTTATTGATGGTAAAATTATTTAAACTTTTAACCTCGACTATTAATATAGAAAAATGTGAAGTTGAAAATACTTTTATTACAACGTGCATCTTTATGCTACAGATTAAAATCTACTGAATAATTAGAGAATTAGAAATAAGATACATACGTTTTGTATCCGAATAATGGGACATCCGTAGGAAGGCAACTTAACGAGAGAACGAGGGATGTGTGTGAGGGAGTAAATAGGATTAGACGGGACTTCACCTAGAATTCTCGACGTCTTCGCATATCGGTACTGTCGTGAATGCTTTAGAAGCGGGTAACGTGGAAATGTCGCAACTAAGTTTATTGCACTGATCGCTGTGCCTGCCTACAGTGAAATTCAGCGCAAAGCCAATAATAGAATTGTGAAGAAATATTTTTTTTACCGAAGGTCTTCGGCACGATTTTCGGAATTCAGATCTTTAAATTTTAAATTGCGCTGCTAATGTATTTTGCGCCGCATTCTTGATGAATCAGACATTTTTAAAATTTAATTAATCTTTTTATCGCGTGATTCATATTGTTCTAGGCGTTCTGGAGTCGTTGAATATTGTAGGCGAACATTTAGAGACACGAAAATAACGCGATATTCGCGATCCATTATTAATGTCGTTCCGAAAACCGAAATCTCTCTTTCGCGTGATATCATAAACAAGCGTAAAGAACTTTGGAATAACAGAGTATTGGAAAATGACTTGAATTGAAACGTCTAACTCACCGGTCGAATCGAAATCACCCTCCAGCGGCCTCAGTGGTCTGCTTATGCTTTTCCTCTTCGACGGGGAATGCTTCAAGGCTGTAACATAAAATATGCGATGCCATAATTTTTTGCAAAAATGCAGGTAAACTCAACATCAAGTTATTTTTGAAAACTGCTTTAAAATTTGCACGTATTAGGTATACCTATTAAAAGAGCACAAACGTATTATGCTACAAAAGCTGACATCAGTACCGTAGCAAGGATCAAAGGATATATTAGCCTCGTTTGTTTCAATTTATCTAATTATTAGTAAATCATTCTACTCATTATTCAATTTTAACATGATAATTGTGTATATTTTATATTTTTTCTAACTTTTTCACTAGAAAATAATTTACTATTTATATAAGTCCCCTAAAAATAATTAGACAAATATATAAAAAATCTCCTTTAAATACACATATATTAAATCAGCTTTAATAACATTATAGCCAATTCTATCTAATCATTAAATCTAATTAAAGAAATCAGTTTGTACCGCGATAGCCTTTTTTATCTATCATATTCCTAGATAGTATATCTAAATCTTCTTTCTAAATAAAACACAAGTCTCGCTACAGCACTACTTGCCATAATTATCTATAAATATTCTTTCTTCGGACTACAATTACTATTCTACTGTTAACGAATGCTAAACTATCATATATGTGTGAATGCTCTTATATTTTAATTATACTAATCGCAAATATATAGAATGTTTAACATATATTGTATGTATAGATAAATATGTGAAGATATAATCAAGCACACCTATGAGCTTCGCTTTCGAATGCGAGAGCTATTTTTACAATTGTCACCTATACTACATCTTAATCCACATGCCTAAGTTAATCACATAAAAAAGTATGTACGTACATGAGAGAATTGTGCTGGAGTTTGTAAAAATATATTTTATATGCATATATGTAATAAAAGAGAATATTTTGTTATATAAACGTTTATCTATCATCCGTGCCGTGAAATATAGGGTATGCCTAGGCTAAACTAATTGCTGCATGATATCGAATGTGACAGGGAAGTTTCGGAATTGTAGATGAGTTGTAGATAAATATATATAGAGAAACTCAGTGAAAATATCCTAAATAGATGTGAAACACATAAATCTTTTAATTAATTTCTTTGCAAGATACTATATGAAAATGTGTAGAAGTGAAGAGTTCATTCCGTGATAGTGAATATCATCGCTTGGATATTAAAAAGAATGATTTGGATAAAAGATTTTCTTGCTGTGTGTTGCAAAAAGTAGAAGACAATAAAGTGATAGAGAAGAGTGAAATAAAGTACACGTATTAGACGTACAATTCTCACAGGCATTGGTTGAAGCGACAAAAATAGAAACAAGAAAGAGACACACTTACACACACATACATACAAAAATAGAAAGATTTTTCGCATAATTCTATTGCTGAAATTCATTCTAAAAAATCGTTTTTTATTTAATAAAAATATTCAAATTTCAATCGCACAAACATATTAGTAAACCAAACGTAGCAAACATAGAATTGTGCTCAAAGCTTAATTGTGTAAAAGATATTCAAATAGTCTAGATGTATATCAATTTTTCTAAATATAATCTACTCGTTTCAATCATATAATTAAGCAAATAAAAAAATATATCTAATACATATATTTCATAGCTTTTTTTGAGTTGTGCATGCAAAGAATTGTCACACGCATTATTTTAAACTTATTTTAAGAAATTCAATTAAACCAATTATATTCAAATATTAATTCTTTCAAAAAATTTTAATAGACATTTTATAGTTTAATTTTATCCAGCGAATGCACGAAATGAATTAAGAGATACATTGTTTCTAGAATCAAAGAGCAAAATAAGAAAAAAAACGATCATTCGAAGAAGATGCATACAGGCAGAAGGATTATATGAAAACAAACGTACATACATTCGTACAAAAATGGACAGACGGACGCACACATAGACAGAGTTACCTATATAGCTGGTGACGAGGTTACGGAATTTGCGGTGATTCCCCTTAATCTCAGGCAGGTCCACTTTTGGTATTCGATTTTCGAGTTTCAATCAGTAGCAGGTCAGATCAGGTCATTGGGGGTTGACACGAAAAGAAGTGCACGGGACACAGAAACATCAACATTTAGCTAACTCGTATATAATATGATTATATATACCGGATTATTGAATAAATGATAAAATTATTAAAGACTGCCGAGAATAGATAGAAACATTAAAGAAAGTCAGGGTACAACTAGTTTCCAAATGTATTAAGTTGATATGGAAAGCAATTTTTTTAAAGCTTTTTCCTTTTTTTCCTGTAAGAACAGGGAATGTAGCTTTTGTCACAAATTATCATCTGCAGATTTTTAATTGGATTCTACTCAAAGATTTATGCGACACAAGTTGATGCTGCAATAACATTGCATTTAACATGATAAATTATAAGAGAATCAAAAAAAAGAATCACATAACTCTTCCTAGAGCGTTTTTGGGCTGTCAATTGTAATCTGTTTCTATTCGCATGAGATAAAATATAAGTGATAGGTGATTAACGAAACGCAAACGTACGTAACACAAACAACAAACACATCGCACGATACAATATTAAGACAATATACAAAGTGTAACGCGCTGATGGTGCAAAAAACTTAATATGAATAACGACTACGAGGGAATGTATGTCATAGTAAGTGGAATAATGTCAATAATGAGATGATAGTACACAGGACGAGAATAGTAGTACTAGTAATAATAGCAACAATAATAATAATAATAATAATAATAATAATAATAATAATAATAATAATAATGATAATGAGTATTAGTAGTATAATAGTAGAGTAGTATAGTAGTATAGTAGCAGTAGTAGTACGGTAACAGGTTATAAGTTGTGTACGGGTGGGCTTATAAATGAAATGAAGTTGTAAATAGCGAAAATGTTTATTGCAAAATATATAAATATGTACAATGGTGCCCACGTTCAGTCGATAGCTGAATATTTTCGCTATAATTAAAATAAAAAAAAAATCATCTACTTCTACCGTTTATTCTCGCTCTCACACTCTCGCACTCTCTTTCTCGAATTAATTGTACACCCACGCGGTCCTAATATTTGCTATTATTGCAAAAATATATACGCGTTCAACATTATTATATTTCGCAGAGATTCTTCTATAAATATATAGATCGCACAAAATCAATCAGCGTCTCTCCTATCTCTCTATCTCTAAAAAATTTCTAAACAGAGTCTTTATAGAGAGAACTATATATGTTTGACATCTTTCTTTTGATTTTATTGAACGTTGATTGATTAAACAATTAATTTGATAATTGTTTATTTTTTAAATTATTGACTAAGCTAACTTGAATTGCGCGAACGTATTTCGTGCGTTCTATTATACTACTTTTTTACTAATGCTCTAATGAACGAAAAGATCAATGATTGCTTTGGCGTATTGATGAAACAGTTTTTTGTCATTGAGATTTATTTTTGTATATTAAAGATGAAATCTTCACAAGATTTTGGCACATGATTATTATTAATAAAAAAAGATAAAAAATTAGATTGTGATTATTTGTATCATTAACAAGTGCGCACATAATATGTTATGGACTAGATCAAGAAGAAATTATTGACAAGAAAAGGGATTTTTAAATGCCAGCTTTTGTTTATGCACACTTAATAAAAATCTTCTTAAGATCGATCTTTTCAAACATGGCTCGCAGTCTAATATATAAGTAAGTAAAAAATATACCAATGGAAGTCACAAAATCGATTAACAATATCGATATATATTATATATACAAGTATATATGTAAAAAATACTCAGCTATACTTGTGGACACCAGTGATCGATAATTTTTTTGTTTCTTTTTAATAAATATACCGAAAATAAAACTGTGCGTCGAAGGAAAATATGAAATGCACAATGAGGTAAAACTTGTAAAAAAATCAATGTTATCAATAAACGGAAAAAATTATATATAACAAAATATACATACGTGTGTATTGTGTTAGCAATTAGTTACACCAAAACAAAACCCAAAAATGATCAATTGACATTCGTTAAACCCAAAATATATCTTATTCACAGCATGATTCTAAACGAATGCAGGTATCCGAAAAATTCTCTTCTGGATCGGATTGTGTATGCCATTGACAAATTGCATTCGTTGAATAGATAAAGCGTGTAGTCTCGTATTTGATAAGAATTCTGATTTGCACGATATTTTTCATTAATCTACGCAAGGCACTGGGCAGATCAATAAAATTTAAATATAACTATGCTATTGATGCAAAAACGCGTTTAGATAATTTTCGGATATCCGCACAGTATTTGTCGCATTCTCTGCAGTCACTCAAATATTTTATAACGCTGTTATAATCATTAAAATATTTCTCTGGACGGCTAAATCTGTGATAAAATCTGTACAGCCAAAATGGAGTCGTTGACAGCTGCGCTTTTAACATTCTTAAAATATATAAATAATCAGATAAAGAGTTTATTAAAACCAGAATCGCTTGTGTTATCCCTGATAATAATTACGATTATGATATTCGTGGAAGCCTAATATTTTGTTAGATTTTCTTCCGCTATTTCGACAATAACGCGAGTTCGTTACGCGCTAAAAGAATTGTATAACTACATAAATGAATTAAATGGACGAATTTTTTAGTGAATTGTAACGAGAGGAAAAATATATGCGTATCTAGCTTACGGCTTACTGCTCTATGAAAATTGAAATATGCTCTCTTCTTAAGTAACAATATGAGTACCTTACTATTTATATAATGATAACATACTACCTATATATTCTAAGTACCAGTTTTGAGCTTCACTTATAATAAACTATCCTTGTTCTACTCCCGTTTTTCTTGCATTAAATATTTAAAATATATCTCAAAAGCGTCAATAAGGTACAATTTGATAGCATTGCAATACGTTTGAACAATACTGATACCATTAATTTTGCCTTCTTTCAATAAGCAAAATCGCTTATCAATTATACAACTTGTGTGTGTATATAATATATAATATAACGCGACAAGTTAACATGATCGATTAAAAGATAATGGCTACCGGTAAATAGGTAATTAAGCGTAAATTTGCTCACATATTAGTGAGTTTTGCTGAGTGTAATCTTGTAGTCAAACTTGTTAGGACAGGTTGATTCGGATGGTACTTACGTGATGGTATTTTCTTAAATACTGTCTTGGCCATGAAATCCTGAAAGCGTTGCGCGTAAAATCCTGGTCGATGAACCGACACAGTATCCTGAGAAAGCAAGAACATTCTTTCTATATCAATATCAATAAGATGTTGGACAAATAAAAGAAAGCTGAATTGTGAGAGAAAACTAGATTATAAGGGAGAAATTTATATTAATACACACACATATATGCACGCATGTACGCACATGTGTAACTTACCCCATCATGTATCATCGATTTCCACGTATGTTCTAATTTCTTTTTCAATCTGTAGCTTTGCAAAATATCGATAACACCAAGGAATAATAAAAGACGTTCACCACGCGCGTTTCTGGCAGGAATGCCGCCTGAGCTATTGGGAACATAAACAAAATTTATTAGTCTCATAAAATAACATATCTCGATATATCCATAAAATTGTATAAATATGATATTTACGGTACATCATCCTCTTCATCTATCGGTTCGCTCTCAGCTTGAATACTTTCCATTGCCGTACTATGAGCAACTAATCTCTGACGATTTATACTACGCGATCGATTTAAAGCGGCAGCGCCTATTCTATCCTCTCTATCTTTTTCCCTCTCACTTTGAATAAATCCATCTGTTTCACCCATTTCCCCAACTTCTTCATCGGCGCTTGCCGACAATCTTTGCTCTTGCTATAATATAAATGTAATATATATAGATAAATATTTATTGCATAATATTTATGTGATATGGAGAAACTTGTGTAATATTTACAGCTTTTTCCTTTGCAGCTTGATCAAGATTATGGATTCCAACAAGTAAAGAATAATCCATAATTTTGAAACTTTCCAACACACGACAATCCCGTTGAATAGTTTTTACTAACGCGCTATATGTATCGGCTTCTAAAAAGATACCTTCTGGATGGTGCTCCATAAAATCTAGATCTTTATACGTCGGTGAAGACTTTGAACGTTCTGTTTTTGATGCCTACAATTTAATACATGTAACTATATCATATCATATAAAGTTTTATATATAATATAACATTCATAAATATATTCGTATAATATTACGAACCTTTCTCTTGTACGTAGATCCTTTCAAATCATATTTCTGATGCAATTTTACAAATGAAGGTAAAAGATTATTCATAGCCACTAATCTAACATTCTTACTATTACATCGATAGCAATACAATCCAAAAAACTTTGGCAAAAGTGTTCTCGGATTCTGATTTAGATTCTACAAGAAACAGTATTGTGATTATTAAAAAAGCTTTTGCGATAAAAATATTATATTCTAATTTAAACAATTTATTTTCTTTGGAACGTACCATATAATATCCTGGAAGTAGAGTTTGTAAAAATTCCCCTTCTTTATGCTGCACAGTCTTTATGATAAATTCATCATCATCCGTTAGATAAAAGATACTCCCACTAGCGCCAGGATTTGATAATTCGCGCAATGGAGCGCTACACATTGACATCTAAATGTATATATTTTGTTATTAGCGTACAATTAACACTTCAATGTATCTTATTATAGCACAGAGAGAATGATTTGTCTCACCAAAAAATCATCCGGTTGTATGCCAAAGAGATCTCTAAAATAACGAAATGCAATGGGTGCATAATTTTTAAATTTAAATTCCGAGAAATGATGGGCCGGAGTATGATTTGATCCTTCACTAGGGAAATTCGTTGTCTCCACCGTCATAAAGTCCTGCATTAATAAATCGCGTTCTGGTTTACTTGCAAGGCCACCAACAGCATGCTGTATGCCCAACTGAATAGATCCCATAATTTGCGTCGTTTGAATCTATATAATAAAAATGGAACGTATTTAAAATTAACATGTTTATATTACAACTATTATTATTTAATCCCATAAAACTATCACATTTGCAATAGTACTGACTATAACACAGTAATATCTCATACTATTTAATAAAGAAAGTCTGATATCTCATGTACTAAGCTGTCTGATTAAATTATTAAATGTATGTGCGGATATAATAAGCACTCTCTCATCGATAGCTAGATAAAGTAGCATATTTCTCCTGTTTATAAGCATGATATTTATCAATGTCAAAAAAACCGCTCATACTATTCGACATAATAGCGCAAACGGAGTAATGTAAGCTTATTAATTCTTCGTTTAATGATACCCTTTAACTTCGATTACAAAGCGAAAAATCTAATCTAAAGAAATTATCTATTAAAAATATGCTATACTGGCATATTTTTACTTACCTTTTTATATGTGATTTCACCACCCACTCCAACTCTTCGATGTCCAATCTTTCTCTCTCGTTCCGATTTGTTTCTCGATACCCCCACGGGGGTCTTGCCGCCAGTGATACCATGTTGTACCACTAAACTCTGCAAAGATCACTGACAGTATATTAGCACATTCTTGCTAACACTGAACGTGTATTCAAGGAAAACTGTGATTATCGGTTATCAGTGATTTTTCATTGTTATCTCAGTGAGATTTCTGCTAATACTGAACTTTGCTAATATTTAAGGAAAGTTATATATAGTGAATAATTATTTTACATTTAATCTGAAATGCATCGGAAGATTTAATTAGTCACACATTCCAATTAGTTTAATCGTGTTACTCGCAATATATGTTGTATGATATTTTTTTAGCGTCACAGTACATATATAAAAAGGAAACATCCAAAGCTATTGTTGGAAATGCGTTACTCAAATAAATAAATGATTATATAAAGAAAAAGAAAATAATTTATTTAGGCTTTGCTTTCATTGAGATAAAAATGGTATTACTATATTCGGTCGTATGTTTCGCAAAAAGATGATCATCATAATATAACCGTGATTATTATTCTTACGAAACGATAATATGTAATGATTTCTCTTTTCTGTTGATTCTATGAGCATGTTTCGTTAATTATAGTAACAAGAACAGATGGCAAATTCGAAAACCTATCTTGTGCGCAATTTGATTCTTCGCGAATTTCGCAAGCGTGCAAGAATCGATCCTGATGCTCGTATATAAATTGCCGATGACGGGTAGATTTGCTCATCGCAAAAATAGAAATGATTTCGTGGGTAAACGTAAGCTATATTTGGTGCCACCAGTTGTAAAGAGATGAATAAAGAAACAGACTATTATCCGTATTGATTTATTCTCTTCAAGAGATAATACATTTTTAAATAATGTACTATCTCTAGATTATTGTTGGTATTTATATCTTTTATTTGTAAGTTTATTTCATTTTTAGTGCTAAATTTTCAGTTTTATTTAAAATCTAATTTAATCTAATATAATGTCTGCGTTCATATAAAATGTGCTTATGGAACAGGAATCAAATGCATTGTAATATAAGCGATCACGATTTACGATAAGTACTATATGTATATGAATGTAAGTGCAAAAGTAGAGCAAGTTAATAGGAAAGAGGAAAAATATAATGAGATGCAGCACATTATAAATCGGGGCAACTTTTTTTATTAGTGCTTTCTTTTTGAAATTGAGTAAAGTGAAAACTAGTTGTGAGAATACATATAAATATTATACAGTATGATACAGATCCGTACATGTGAGCCACTTATAATGAATATGCAAGCAATAAATGGTGTAAAACTAAAATCGATATAATAGTATGAAAAACATTTCTAGAAAAACAAATTCAGGCAAATTACGCTCTATTTCTTGAGTTATTAATACCAGCAATTATTGTTTACTGCATTAAACGCTAATCATTATTTAAACGAATAACGTTTTATTAAATATTGAATCGTCAATTAAATATTGAAATAAAAAAATTTGTCCTTTAATAGAATGGGAGGGTGCATCTTTTCGAAAAATATTGTGATAACAATTGTTTAGAAAGATCAATACTTACATCAAATGCGGTAGTTTTTTCCCCAATCGATTTATCTGCAAAAGAGATTTTAATTATGTCGCGTTATAGTATAATGTATGTATAGCTAAAGTATGTATTTTGATAATTAACAATGCATAGATAATGCGATGCAATATCAAAAAAATAAAATTACATGAAATGTAAAGTTATTTATAGAATAATCAAATGCTGCTATTTATCTCAACAGAATCATAAATATTGAAATGTGTTCAATTGTTTAATAATTTTATATATATATAAAAATGTAATATATAATTTACATAAATATATAAGCATTATTATTAAATGACCGTTTTACACATTAACAAAGTTAGATTTATGATATTGTTGTTGATTTATGATATTGTGTGTTACGCAGTTTTTGTATGAGATCAATATATGTAATAAATTCAAAGAACTCTGATGAAATCAGCAGTTTTTAAGATATCCTTCAGAAACGCGAATATTTTTATTAGATACTAAAGAGATACACGAGACATAATGGCTTTTTTATACGATCGATTTATCAGACTAAAATTGTTTTTTTTCAAAGTGCAATATGTATAAATTTTGATAATGATTAAATCATAAAAGATTTAATCATTATCAAAATTTATACGTATTGTAGGCAGAAAATCTTAATGTGTATGTGTGTGTGTGTGTGTGTGTGTGTGTGTGTGTGTGTGTGTGTGTGTGTGTGTGTGTGTGTGTGTGTGATCGATTCCATAATCTACATATTACACATTTAGTATTATAACTAAATGTAATTAATTAATTCTTAAAATTTGTTGGCATTCTATTTGTCTATAGGTTTACTGATATAACAACATTATCTGTCTGCATTACGCATTATCTCTATGTTATATAATTTAATATCTATAAAAGATGTCAACAATGTTCCAGTTTTGAGTTAGCTTGAATGCACTTATGACTGTTGATTCTGAAAACTCGGCAATGTTATCGCCGAACAAAAAAATTATATTATTAACCTTGCATTTAATCTTAAGGACTAGACAACCGTCAAACTATTTGTTACAAAAATTCTTCTCGGAACCGATAGACATGATGCGCGAATATCTATAAATGCATTTGATCTAAAAATATCTAACCCGAGAATGGGAGGTATTATTGACTCCCACTATTTTGCAAACAAGTCACATGTGCACGAAGAATAAGAATATTTAATATTAATTTCTCATTATAATAAAGAATCATATGTGACACGTAACATGCTAAATTTAAAATCAAAATAACAAACTGCAATTTCGAGTTTACGTCACGATTGATTTGTCGCAAATAAATTTATTATTTATTTGGGTGAATCTTGGAATAATGGATTATGAATTAAATTACCGCGAGCAGCCATCGAGACTGATGTTGGGGGAAAAAACGACACGTGTAAGGAAATGATGCGATTCGCGATATCGAGTAAAAAAAGGGTCCCTGCAGGACAGACTGTAGAATAAGGGAGCAAGGTGAGTCAAGATGTCCTTACTTAGCCTTCTATTTTTAACTCTCATCTTCCATTACTTGACTCGAACGCGTGCGGCGCTCTCTGTTCGGTTGAGAGATGTTTTTCCAACAACGAAAACACGAAGCGGTGCCAATAAAAAAGCGTCGTTATCGAAACATCATTGATGAATTTTTAAAAAAATTGTGTACAATAATACACGGATTTTATACATCTATATAGAAGAGTGTCTGCATTATAAACAACCATGTTTTACACATGACTTGTAAAAAAACGTGAAACTATCTTACCTCCAGACAAGTAAAATAAATTGCATTATGTAAACATCATTTACTCAAACCTGTATCCTTGAATCAATTAAATTCCTTAGCGAAGTGTATAAATGTTTTTCCATTTATAATTTCTCTGCTTAATTTAATTGAAAACTCAGAGAAAAATAAGATGTTTCGAATAATATTGTATGTTGTACAACACGCTCAAGAATATAAAGAAATTTAATCATATATGTTGTTTACGATTACGTTGATTCGAATGGAAATATCTGAATACCTCTAAAAGTGTGAAGAAGCTAAAGTTGAGTAATACGGTGTTTTATAATTTAAACATGTGTAGGATATTTTAATCCTGTGTATTTTAACACACTGACGTAATTTCCTCTATCAAAATAATTTCCTCTATTAAATAAATTTCCTCTATCATAATAAATATGGTCTAAGCTAATTCCTTATTCACACATATAAATATGACATACACAAATAAACGCTGAATAATAGCACGGAAAGGTTTTCTAAACGGTAAAAAGGCTTTCTCTCGACAAGAGACGAACGCCGCTATCTTTTGAACAAAAGAAACAGTCCAGATATATAGAATGGGATTTTCTAACACGCGTTCTACTTTTCTCTAGATCAGTTATTTTCTAGATAGAAAAAAGTCAATTCCTGCGAGAGAGAAAGAGAGAAATGTCAACTCGCGAATCTGATAACGATGGCGTTATCTCGATATCACGATCGGAGCCCACGCGAATTTCAGAATCAGTTTCCACGTGCTATCCCGCTCTCCCCTCTCTCCCCCCTTCTTCTGATATCAGCTGTCAAATGGCACGAGCTGTCAGGTTGTAGTCACAGCAAACAAATCGCAATGCGTCGAGTCACACCACGCCATCATTACGCACGTTGCATTGTCGTGTAGATTATACGAAGCGAAATCAATGTTCGTACGGAATGCACGATGAAAGACGAAACGCGAAGACGAAAGGCTCGCTATTCGGTCGATGGCTTTGACTTGAAACTTGTCCTTGTTAATCCTCTTGCCACTCTGACTCATATTAAAATTTCATGAATGTATGTAGGTTCCGTGAACTTAACAGTGTATTCTAGAATCAAGAAGTATCTCGTTTCAAAAATCTTCTCGAGAGAATTCGCTTAATAAATTTAACATTTAAATAATAATAAATTATTTAATTAACTTAATAAATTAAATATTTTAATAATTAAGTATTGCATTCTCGTAAATAAAATTCCGATAAAGCAGAATCTAAAATAAAATTGAGAAATAAGATTTCTTATACATGTTTATATATTTTTATAAAATAGAATTGAATTTCTTTTTTTTCCAGAAAACTCATTTTTTTGATGTAAAACATGTATAGACTTTCATAATTACGTAATGCAGAACAGTAAAAAAAAAGAAAATATAGAATACATTTTGTTTCAGAAATAATTCCAGAGTAAATAAAAATAGTATTCTATTCTACATATGTATGCTATGCAACAATATATACATCAATGAAATGGAAATTAGTTTTTAACACACACACATACAAATATATACAAATATATATATATATATATATATATATATATATTTGTATGTGTGTGTGTTAAAAACTAATTTCCATTTCATTGATGTATATATTGTTGCATAGCATACATATGTAGAATAGAATACTATCTTTATTTAAATATATATATATATATATATATATATATATATATATATATGTGTGTGTGTGTGTGTGTGTGTATGTATGTATGTATGTATGTATGTATGTATGTATGTATGTATGTATGTATGTATGTATGTGTGTGTGTGTGTGTGTGTTAAAAACTAATTTCCATTTCAATGATAAAGCATCGTTACGACACGGATTTCCTGGCTATGTTATTCGTTTTTGTGTCATCAGGTTCTTTTAACGATGACGCGATGTCTTTGACGCAATTTAAATCGAATTAGATAGCGCTTAAAATTTTTCTCGGAAGCCAAAAAACGAAAAAGTCGACGTTATAATCAATAATTATCAGCTAGCAAATCGCGAGCCAATCTACAAAATCCCTCATTTACGATGTATTTTCCATCTCGCGAACTCGTAAAACGCATGAAATATCCTCTCCTGGAAACTTTACAGATTACACCGAGGTAATGGGAAAACTGTCAAAGGTCGATCGATCGTTTCGCAAGTCGGAGCGCGGGGAGAATTGTTCCGACTTGCACGCGGAATGCGCCTTAACCGGAGACCAGCGTTCCTCGCTAGACGCCGACACGGATTCCAACGTGTTTCGCGCTTTCTAGGTCGGGTGACACCCATTAGCTGTCAGATATCGCGAGGCAACGGATCGGCAACGGATCTCCCGATCGCATCGATCCACGCTCGCACGTCGTGCGCATAGGATCCGATAAGACGGACGAGCATGAATAAATTCCGAACAAATCGTTCTCGTGCGAGGAACGACGACAGGGCGCATTCGTGGTCGCGGTTATAGGTTAGGGTCACGGCGCTGGAACGAGGGGGGTATCTCGTACAGAGCAGGGCGGGGGGAGGACAGGGGAAGAGGGACGGGGGGAGGGGAAGACGAGCGAGCTCGGGACGTGGGTGCACTCACAATCTTCCTCGGCGGTGGACTGATCCGGCCTGAGATGATCCACCGTGGGCTGCGACGCCGACCCGGGGAAGCTCGTCGTCTCGACCACCTCGATCACGTCCACATTGTCGCCCGAAGCCATTTTGCGTGCGCGTCGCCTCCGTCCGGTCTCGCACTGACTCACGCGTAACGGCGTCGGCGGCGATGGCGGTGGCGACGATCCCCCTGACAGTTCCTCGAAGGAGCCTCCTCGGTTGTCGCTCGGTGCCCGTCGTCCCGCGCCGCCCGCATGTTCGGACGACGCTCCTGTCGCGGGGAAACGTGCCGCGGGCGTAGCGACTGATCGCGCGATTGATTACGCGGCGGCCCGTCGTCGTCGCGCGAACCAACGCGACATGATCGCGCGCTCGCGTCACCTGATCGCTCCGCCCGGCGTCTGGCCTCTATCGGCGCGGCCCGATGGCGTCCCCGGACGACTTTCCCGTCTCGCTGCGCGAAGGAAAAACTACCTGCCCCGGTCGTGGTGCGTCGGGGCCCCCGTGTACCTTCGATACTGCTCCGACGAGTCCGACCTACGCGAGAGTCGAGAGAGCGCCTCCTTCCGTCCGCCGTATTATCGACCGGACGCCACGACCGCTGGCGGCGCCTGGCGGCCGCGAGGGGAAGCTGGATGGCTTCGCGGTAATCACTTTTGTATTTTCGCCCGCGCGACTTCCGCGATTACGCCGGAAGTGTAAATTGCGGCGAGCGAATGAGAGGAAATTGAGATCGCGGAGAATTCGTCTTTTAAGGGGAATTACCGATCGAGAATATATTCATTGGTTGTAGGTATCGCGGTGTTTATTGCGGTGTCGTAAGTCTCGAGTGTGACCCGAAGCCCGCTTCCGGTTGCAGGATACTTGATCTTCTATACGATGGCGCGAAATATGCATTAAAGATAAATATACGTTGAGATGTATGCGTCGAGTCTGTTGAGAATCAGAAAGGATAGTGATTTATAAACACTATATTATTACACTGTTATATTATGATGTACTAGGTAAACAAATATTTTGCAATTTTTCTGCAAGTTGTAGAAAAATTAAGAATTATATAAAATTTTTATGTATAAAGTGTACATTATTTTTAATGAAAGTATTTATATATCTTCTATAAATAAAACATATCTTGAGAAAAAAGATATAATTTATACATATATAGTGAGTTTGTATATGTATGTTATATATTTTGGAATAATTGGAAAAAAATAGTGAAAAAGTTCTTCTTTTTATTGATTTAAAAGAGCATTATTATTGTAATTATTGACATATTTATACACGTATTCATGATGCAATAAAAATTTCCTATTTTACGAACAAATTAAATTAATAAAAATCAATAATTTTTTACTATTCTCGACTTCTTTTATCCTCGTTATGAATTAATCAAATAATTAATTCTCCCTTTTTTTTGTTGAATGAAATTTGTCATCTAATCAATCTCTCTAATTATATGCTATGAATCAAACTTCATAGCAGAATGCAATTTCAAGAAATTTTAATGTTTACATTCGCTTATGCAGTAAAGGAAAATATTTAGTACTATCTCTTTGCAAAATGTATTAACTTAAAAAATAATTTTAGACAATACACAGGTCGTTTGATAAAATTAAGTAAGACACCAATCTCCTCTCTCTCTCTATCTTTTAGCATGATTCTTCGCGTGTAATTATATGATTAAATTTCAGTTACATCATGGTTAAATTTAAATGGTTTCTGAACAAGATATTATTGCAACGAATATTTCTTTTAAGCATTAGTGGTCTGATTGCATATGAGATTTTAACAGGCTATCTCGATTACAACAATCAGGTTATACATTTTAAAATCTTTTGAAATATAATTAATCTGCGTATATGTAATATTTTCAAGTAAATATTTAGAATATTATATAGTGAGTTTAAGATACATATAATAATGAATACAATATAATGTTATTATGACTCTTTTTATCAGAAATAGAGAAATAGATTTTCGGATAAATCTTCTTTCATTCTTCATGCATGCAAGACATATCGTCTTTAAAAAGAATGGAAATCACTCTGTATTTAATTATTTGAATTGCAGCAATATATTCATCGAATTAAATCCTGTTGCATTTACCAGAAAACGAAGCATGTTCAATGATCAGTCACGAATGTTGTGTATCATTAATTCATTATGTCGGCCACATTCATTATAGACTACATTGATCGTGCAAAACACTCCATATAAAACGATTCGCTTAATGTACACCTAGACAGAAGAGATTTATGCCGTGAAGCGTGTAATTAATTATCAAACTGTTCCATAAAACCTTCGTTCCATCGTGGAGTTTGTTCCTCATCTCTCATATTTCGACGTGCAATTGATTATGCTTCAATACATTTTTTTTATTAATTTTATTTCGTTTGTACACAATCTATACTTGACGTAATTATGTCGTCACAAATTATGTTGCAATTTATATCTCTTACTTTTCTATTATTTTAAAACTTTTAATAATTTGTTTTTAAATTTTTTAAAAACTAATTTGTAAATTTAATTTTTCCTTTTTTTAGAAATTATTATTAATTAGACTAGTCTATGTTTTTTCAAAAATGGTATTCAATCAAATAACTATTTATTCTATTTATTTTAAATATTTAATTCCATTAAAATATTAAATTATCACTAGAAATATTTTGAAATATTTGAAAACTATGCTATATATTCGAATCAACTATTTCATTTAATTAATTACTTAACTCATTTATGTACATGCATCTCCATTATTAACGATTTCTATCAGCTTTAAACATCTTTACGCGATCTCGAAGATATAGTAAGCATTGGGTCATACGCTTCGTACGAGTTGTTCGATGTTAACCCTATTTCATTTAGTAAAAGGACGCCGATTTTTATTTCTCCTTGTTCGATAAAAGTATCATTGGTCTAAAAGCAGGCCGTTTGCTACGCAACGTCGATTTCGCGGCTGAAATGCAGGAAACTTTAATTACTCCGGTGAAACGAACTTTGCGATACGCTAACCTTGTGTTTCTTTTCTCTTTCTTTCTTTCTTCGAAGGTGGTCGAATACATGCAGTCAATGCCATACCGACAAGCTCGAGAATCTAGCAGGCTGAAAAGTAATCAGCGTCTCTCTTCTGATGAAGCTGAGTCATCTCCAAGGGATCAAGATGCAGCTGCACAGAAGAGCACCGCGAATGAGTAGATTTTTCATGATTCTGTAATGAAACGCCTTTGAATTAGATAACATTATAAATATTAATTGACAACAAATTTATTTTATACAAGTTTTAAATTATTTTACATATTTCTGTATTTGTATTTTAAATATTTAATATTTTAAATGTATTTAAAAAATACATTCTGTATCTCCACTGTTTTGTGCACCAGAAAAATTTTAATATTACATTATTGTCTACAAATATGCAATTATCGTCAAATATTTAGAATAAATCTAGAAAATCAAATAAATTGCATTGGATGATGCAAATATGTTCTACTAGATATTGAATATTATATTTGCAATACAATCTCAAAAATGTGTTTTAAAAAATATATTGTGTATCTTCACCATTCTATGCATCAGAAAAATTTTAATATTACATTATTGTCTACAAATATGCAATTATCAAATATTTAATAGAATAAATCAAGAAGATCAAACAGATTGCATTAGGTGATGCAACTGTACTCTACTAGATATAATTAAACATTATATTTGCAATACAATCCTGAAAACAATTTCCTGATGTTTATCTATGCATCACAGTTAATCACGCGAAACACCTATATGATTGTAACTATGTCACATAATCATTTGCGCGTGATTAATAATGCATGCTTGGAAATCGTGTAACATGCATCCAAGCTTTCCTCCATAAGCATATAAACACAGATATCGAAAGAGGATATAGGATTTCCTGTATCGAATGCAACAAAGGAACAAAGCTATCGACGAACGGCGTTTAATTTGCGATTTATGTACGTACATATTGATAGAGATAGCATGATAGAATCTCGAGAAAAATTATGACTGAAATCAAGCTCCATCGTTAAATTTACGACTTACTTACGTAGAATAGATTTTTTTGAATGAACAATGAATCATTCACGAACAGCATGCAAATCGATTTATGAAATATAATTTATAAATTAATGATAATTAACGCATATATATCTATAAAAGGTTTTCAAGTGACATTTCATCAAATCTCGACACTGAACCGCATGCGTGCAGCAGGATTTCCCCTTTCTATTTAAACCATGGTGGAGAAGCTTTTGCGAAACATGTAATCACGCTTTTCAAAGATAATAGCCAAATTTTGTCTAACGATTCGATATAAAGTCGAAAATCAGTTAAACAAATATTCTGACAAACGTATGGTCAAGACTAACTCCGATAACACAAAATCAGTCGACATTAATGTCAGGGACAGAGGTTTATTACCCAATCAAGAAATTAAGTAACAAAGCCGAAGGTTATTCTTCTAAATTACTTTGCTATTCAAGGCCATTTGTAAAGAGGAAAACAGCATTTGTAAAGAGAATAATTGGATCAATAATTGTAGAGTTGACCGACAGATTTGATAAAAACGTTCGGGAAATACTACATCAATGACTTTAAAATATTGCGATGTTTAGTTTGCGTATAAAGTAAATTTCCTATGTTAGATTCAAGCAATTTTATATTTTAGACAACTAATACCTAAATTCATCTCTTTTGTTCTAAAAATCCACTCATCAAAAAGAATCATTAAATTGTAAGACATTATTTCAGGCATGATTATGAGTCTTGAGTCTGATTATGAGTCACAATCGGGCAATTTTAATCACTTATATTAATGTTTAGGGAGAGTGTGACAACATTATTTTATTTCCCACAACGTCGACGTGAATCGAAGTTTCTGTAATGTTAAATACCATTGAATGCTAAATAACATTCAATAAGTTGAAATACATAACATTCAATAAATTGAAATATACAGGAAGATCGATTGAAAAATATTCATATGAATCGGTAAGCTAACGCTGATATTGATGAATGCCTCGTTGTCGATTCTTCCTTCCATTAGTCCTTTTGCGAAGCCATAAAGTCATCGGAGAGACTCACTCGCTGGAAAACTGTGGAACGATTCAGATATATAAAGAGAGATCCAGAAGTCTTTTCTAAGGAACGAACCGTGATAATTGCTTAAATTCCAATACAATATTGCGAATTGAAAATTTGATTCTAATTGGCAAGTTACGTAAGTTGTAAATTTCAAAATTAATTAATTTGAGAGATTTGATTTATCTAAGGTAATTATTCCTTATACATCAATTTTCAATAGAATTCCAAGGTCCTTCCAACTTCGCATCCCCAAGTTCCTCTTATAGTTATTATTCCAATTGTTTATTATTATTCCAATTATTTTAATTAACTAACTTAATTTTTTCAAAATTATTAGAATATTAAAAATCTTCCTGATTATTATATTAGAGCCCCAATAGAGTCACGGATCCGGCTGCATTAGGTAGAGGCTATTTGTTGTTGTATGATCACGAAATTTTATTTTAATAAATTTTTTATTTATTTGCTGATTAATTTAATAAAGTTATCAAAAGAAAATAATATTTGTATCTCAATATATATACAGTAATAAACATTGCTTAATTAAAGGTTGAGAAAATTTTTAGTAGAATATATAATTTTCTTCAGAGTTTCTTATTAAATTACAATTATAAATTTACAGACTATCCGCTATGATTCATCCGCAAAATACTTTGTTAAAGTTTGTTATGTATTATACAAGATCTTAAAGTATCTTAATGTTTAATAGAATAATTTATGAATATGTATATATGAACAACAATCATAGGTTGGCAGCAGTCGGGAGTAAAAATGTCAAACTTTGCTTCTTTAATACACTATCTATATATATAAGATTAGAAAGATAAGATTTTCTTAAATATTATAGGAGATAAAGACAACAATCTGTGATTTAATAACGATTCTGGAAATTTTTAATTTCTAGAAAAGAGAAATAGTTAAGTAGCAAATCTTTTATTTTGCATTCGTGAAAATTAAGCCTATATAATTATAGAGAAATGCAGTCGTAAACTTGAAGAATCTTTTCACATTCTCTGCTTGTTACACAAAAAACAATAGGAGAAAAACTACCGCATTCTTTGAACATCATAACTCATAAAAGTCTACAGAACGTTGAGAATTATATTTAACGGTTCTTCTTTTAGTGCTACTTTTTCGTCTAATAAAAATGGAATATCATTTGGTAGTTTAATTTATTAATATCGTATATTTTTGGAGTAGTTTAATTTATTAACATCACATATATTTTGGAATAGTTTAATTTATTAATATCACATATATTCGTATAAATTTTGTAGAAAGATTATAATTATTATAATTTATACACATATATTACATTTATATATTATTATATCTTTAAATAAAAATATCTCACTATTAACAAAATTATAAAAAGAATTATAAAAAAGAGAGGAAAAGAGAGAAAGAAAAAAGGAAACAAAGAGAGATAATAATATAAATAATATATATAATATAAGTGATTTAAATAAAATTCTGAAGTAACGATATTCGTGTGTATTGTTATTTATAAAATTAGAAATAAAAAAGATGAAAAATTAAAAATAAAATGACATTTAAGGTAAGTAATAAAAGAATATGATTAAAAGCAAAAATAAACGACCTGAATAAAGTAAAAAAAATATATAGCTAATTTAAAAACGGATAAAGATAAAAACGATATTTTTAAAACTGGATCAATGTAATTATTTTACAATGCTAAAATCAATAAATATCATCCCTAATACTATTGTTTTAATTATTACGCACGCACACATATATAAAATTAATTTAATATGTAATTTAATATGTAATAATTTAATTATGTAATATTAATTTACTACTGAGAAAGATTGCGTTAGTTTATATGACAAAGATTAATGTGTATTCTCTTTCTTTCTCTTTCTCTCTTTGGTTTATTATATTTTTATAGATTTCAACTAAAATTTATGCATATTAGTAAAAAGAAATAGTTAAATATATATTAAAAATATTATATGCATATACGAAGATGTTAATTATGGGATGTGTGATTCTCCTCAAATATCGAAATTATCGGCGTAATCGCAATAAATCAACAGGTTAAGAGTACTAGTTTACTTAAGTGATAAAAAAGTTTGCGAGAAATCAAACGAGATGAACTCAGAAAAATGACGGGGAGGAAATGTGTCTTGAAAACGAAAGCTGATTTCATCAGCTCAGGGATCTTCCTGTAATATATATGCATGCTGTATATAAGTGTTATCGGCTGTTATCACTGTTATTACTACTCTTACAGTAGAAGCAGAACAAGCTCTCATTTTAACGTGTCGAAAATTTGGAAAATTGCTTCGATCGTGGATCATGTGTTATGTAATAATTTTTTCATAATATTTCGTAAAATATAGATATTACGCGATGTCGAACAATAACACATCTAATATAGATGTGTCTGAGGAGAAAAAGATTCAACAACGTAATTCAAGTAAGTGCACAATTCATAAATATTGATCAAATAGAAGTTGATTTTGCTGAAGATATACCTGTGACATAATTAAGATTTATTTTTGATAATCTAACAAATTTTATAGTGCCTTTTAAAGATAGGAAAAATGTTTTCTAGTTTCAAACGCAAGCTTCTTAATAATAATTTTTTAATTTTTATTTTTCTATTAAAATATTTAAAATGCGTGTAAATATATATATATATATATATATATATATATATATATATATATAGTGCATAGCAATTTTTTAGATATGTATATTATATATATCTAAATATATATATTTACAGTTGTGATTGAAGATGTGCCAAATGCGAAAATGGCAGATTTCGAAACGGCAATTTCCGCCGCTGGAATCGGAAAATTTCAATATCTTCTCATTATCGGGATTATTCCGATTTCATGGGGCTCTAGTATAGATACAGCTAATATGTCGATGATACTTCCATCGGTGGGATGCGATTTACGATTGTCATTATTTGACAAAGGACTTTTAAACGCCATCATCTATGTAGGTGAGTGATAATATGACGTTTTGAATTATTTTCAATGCAATCTTAAATTAAGATTTTATTGGAACAATATGATGAATTTTTATCATTATTATATTATAAAAAGATATATAAAATAAGAGATAAAAAATAGGATATAAAAAAATCTATCATAGTTTTATGCATGTGTACAAAATGTTATATATTTTATACAAAAAATGGCGCTATAGGTATGGTGTTGAGTGGTTTTATGTGGGGATATCTCGCTGACGTTAAAGGAAGAAAAAAGATTATATTATACGGCTATTTAGCGGATAGTATTTGTAATATACTCGCAGGTTTTTCGCAAAATTTTGAGACGCTTGTGTTCTTCAAATTTCTCAGTGGCTTTCTGTGAGAGAAATATAATATATATATACATTACATTATACTATATTAATTCAATAACTTTTCGAAGAAAAGCAACGAATGAATCATCATTTAAGAATTATTTAACGATCGAATTAACGGCCAGTTTTATTTTTATCATTAGTGTAAGTGGACCGCATGCCACTCTTTTGGCATATTGTTCGGAATTTTTCGGAGATAAAGGTAGAGCGAAAATTCCACTTATTGTCAGCGTCTCCGTTTCGTTCGGATGTGTAGTTAATGCAGGTAAAATAACTTTATATTACAAAAAAATTATATAAGCAATTATCAATCAATATAATCTAATATAAATTTATTATATACAAATTTATGTATATATTTACTTTTTAAATTTAGAAAGTAATCTAAAATATTATCATATTCTAATATATATTATATATATCCAATACATATCTAATATATATTTAATATATATCTTCATATATCTAATATATCAATCTTTCTAATATTGTATTTGTGGTTAGTATTTGCTTGGCTAGTGATTCCTCAACCATGGTCAATTGTTCTTGGAGACGGTGCTTTTGTCTATAATTCTTGGAGAATATATCTATCCATCTGTGGATTACCGATGTTAATAGGCACTGTCTGCTTTTGTTTCTTTCCGGAGAGCCCCAAGTTTTTGATGGCACAAAATTGTAATAAAGCTGCACTTGAAATCTTTAGAAAAATTTACAGTATAAATACTGGTCTGCCTAAGGATAATTATCCTGTAAGCACATATACATATATTATAATTAAATATAATAATTGTACTAGTTTTAGTAAAATATTTCAGGTAATAATAAAAGAAAGAAATATTTTACATTTTTCTTTATTATATATTATTATATACAGATACATGCTTTGAAAGATATAAATTTAAACAATACTCTAGAGCGATCGCATTCGCATACATCAAAATCTCAAAATAAGACAAAATCTTTAAAGGATGGAATTCAGCAGATGAAGCCTATGTTCTTGAACCCATATCTACCGCGTATATTGTTACTGATTACCATACAATTCGGTGCAATGTTATGGTGAGTATTAATTATTAATATATATATATATATATATATTTATATTAATAATTAATATTAATATATTATATTAATATTAATATTATTATAATATTAATATCATTTACAATTAATATTAATATTAATTATAAATATAATTTTATTAATTTATTTATTCAATTGTTAAATAGAATATTTTTGCAATAATCATAAATAATATTAGAGTCAATTTTTTTATTATTAGTGGCATAATAATTGCTAATTTCTGCAAGGTCATTGTCATCAATGTCGTAAATCAAAGTTATCACAATGGTGAGAATAGAATAGTAATGTAATGTGTGCATAATATATCTGCATGACGAATATGTATACAATCGTACGATGTTTTTTACGAGATATAAAATAAGACACATATCACAATATACACATCACATTTGTAAAAGTTTAAAACCCCGGTTAGTTGTACAAGTACCGCGTTGATGGTTGAATGACAGATTTGAAAATTTATGATCTTATCAGTGCACGTAAGATATATCGCACGTTTGTTTCTGCATGTTTCGCTGATTGTGAGATATATTTCTATTATCTAGATACGTATCGCTCCGAATTCCATACATCTTATGTATCATGTGATCTACTAAATTCTTTTACTAAATTAAAGATATCAACGGAGGTGAAAATAAAGCTGAATACACATCGCCCTCGCTTCAGAAAAGTCTAAAAGCTTCTACTAAATTAAAGGATGTCAGATTAACAATGGCAAATATAAAATGGCGTTGTTTGTCGGATTAATTATACAATTTGCAATTAAATTAAACGTCCTTTTTGTTCTCTGGCATTATCGAACTCGGTGAAAATTTTCCATTGCCGTAGATCTTGATAACGACAAGCAAAACAATTCACAGACTGAGCAAGTTACGATTAAATTGCGATGAGACAAATATTATTCATAAATTATTTAAATAATTATGGATTATATTTTTTATTTTGATTTACATTTATACTTCATTTATTTAATGAATGTTAAATAACTTATCTTTAACTTTATTGTGAATTACTTATATTAATGTTTTCTATATTTACAGTTTAAATACTCTTCGCCTCTGGCAACCACAGCTCTTTGCGACGATAGAGAACTTTAACAGCCTTAATACTAACATAACTAATCCTACTTTTTGCGAAATACTAGATATTTCGACATCTGCAAAAGAAAATATAACTGTTACATTGGAGGAAATGTCAAATTGTGAGAAAGTAAGATAGATGTGTATATTAAATATATAAAAAAAAGTCAATTTGAAAAATGTCATATCATTAAATATAAAAAAAATATTTATATCTTTATACTTTTAAAATTTTATTATGTTCTTTATTTAATAAATTGATTATTTCAGATTGTTATAGCAGATTCAATATACGTCGACACTATTATTGTATCAGTTATTTCTAGTTCTTGTATATTATGTGCCAGCATCTTCGTTAATTATCTCCAACACAAATATCTTTCATGTAAGTTGTCTTCCATTTACATAAATCGATTACTATTTAGAAGACAAGAGAGAAAAATAGACTCTATACTAATTTTTTATAATTAATCCTTAATACAGTCATTAGCTACGGATGTGCGCTTCTGTGTTCTATATCCTTAATCTGGTCTACAAATACATTAGTTACCCTTATACTTACGTGCTTATACGTCGGATTATTTAACAAAGGTTATAATATTACGGTCAGCGCGACTGTTTTGCTTTTTCCCACATCTTTGAGGTTTGTCATTTAAATTTATAAAATTATTTACGCTCGCTTAAAGAAAATAGACAATTAATGCAGTAATGTGTTCAATTTTATATTTATTTATTAGAGCCATGGCAGTAAGTATGGAAATGCTAGTAGGAAGAATAGGAACCATAGTCGGCAATCTTGTCTTTCCAGTCTTACTTGAGTATGGCTGCGTAGCACCGATTATCAATCTGATATGCTTCAATTTGCGTAAGTATTCTATTCATTGAAAAGCAAAGTCTTAAACATATTATCAAAATGTGGCAACATAGATTCGATGTGTCAAATAATTTCAATGTTTTAAATAAAAGTAGCAACGTTAATTTGCTTTCGAAATAAAGAAATGCATTACTATTTGTGCATATATTATCTTATTAAAAAATATAATTTAATATTTTTTAGTATGTATAGTTCTTACGTGTTTCATACCGAATACACGTAAACACGCAGTGTTTACGTAAGGATCATATTCTGTTAATTGTATGAGATCAAAGAGAGTAATCAGAAGCGGAGGATCTCAAAAAGAGAAACACCAAAAGAGCACGTTGACGGGCTTGCTCAGGTTTTGCACTTCTACGGTTCACATTTTTTAATAACATTTCCAAGAATCCACGATCGTTAAGCAGAGCCTCCAAGGACCTAGATCGAAGCTTATCGTGAACCATGATCGAGCTCGTATGAGGGCGGACAATGGTCATACATATACATGCATATACACAACGAAAGACTGCACGAGGCCTTGAGTTTCACTTTCGACACATCCTGGAGAGCCCTCCAGCCTTCACCCACATGTTCGTTCTTCTCTATCCCGCGCCTCTTCTCATGTGGACGCAGCTTTATCGGAGATCTCAGGACCTCGTCATCTCCGTATCTGCCACCGTTGATCGGTGTAATAAAAAATGTGTGTGTGCGTGTGTGTATCGCGATGTATATACATAAATACTCCAGAAGAAAATCAGCAGAGACGTGTCAATAAAGTATGAATTAAGTACATTATCATGCCGATTGTTAATGAAAAGTTTTATGGCAATACTTCAACTATTTTTAGACAATTTGCGCATATAAATATGTGAATTATTAAAGAGAAACTGTGAAATATTGCGCAATTATATAATTCTATTTTATGATATTTAATTTATATAAATTTATATTTCATAATACGTGATTTTTAAGAATTATCATAATAAATTAGTGATTATAAGATTTGTAAATTGCTCATGTCTTTTATTTGTGTATAACTAAAAAAGAGAGAGAGTGAAAAAAGAGGAATTATGATACAATTTATAAAAATCATTCTTTCTAGGTAAATATATTGGTAGCAATACACACACTTCACATGTATATATATTATATGTCTATTATTTTATCATTCTAGATGCGGAGTTGTAAAGTAACTGAAACAATTATAGTAAATTATTATATATTATAGATTATAAATTATTATAAATTAAATTAATATAATATAAATTATTATAATATTTATATTATAGAAAAATTATAATAAATGAAACAATTACAATATAAATGATATTTATGTCGCAAATATATAATTGTCACAAAATTATGTGAAATTATTCTATAATCTTGATGCATATAATATTTCGATGATTAACATGTGAAAATTAGATTGAAGATACCATTACATTCGCGCGTGACGATTATATAGTTAACAGTTAAATGTACGAAGTTAAATGTACGCAATTCAACTGCAGGCACGTTTAACTGTTAATGAAATCACGTAATGTTTCATTAACAACTGAACACTCGCGCGCGATATAATTAAAAGTGTCGGCAACTTTCTATGGCGTTTTATTGTATAAGGGCTCCGCGTGGCGCCCTAAGACTGCATTCCGCATAAATTACAGAAGAGATGCACACCCGTATCCGTCAGTGAAAAAAAAGTGTCTGCATTTCTTTCATTAGTTCCATCTGCGAACATCTATCGAAGCGATTCAACGTCTGCATTAAAAGCCGACGTGTACTCGCAATCCGGTATGCGTTGATATATCAATAACGATCTACATCTTCAACAACTTCATCAAAGGCTTCATTTAACAAGGATATCTTACCCGACGTCTTAGTTGCACGATCGAGGATATTGTGAAGGTTCCTTTAGATATTTTCTCATAGAGATGTTTTCATACTAATTACAATGCAATTTATTGACATTAACAAGGCGTGTAAAATATAATGAAGAGAAAGAGAGAGTTTTCTGCTGATATTCTAATCATCATCCGTTGAATGTCGAGGAGAATAAAATATTTATAAACTTTCTTAACTTTAAATTAAACTCCTAATAAGTAACTTTGATCCCCGCTGAAATTAATATTTTATATTATATCAAATTAAAAATTATTACAATTAATTATTGAAGTGAAGATTAAGCCATTTTCATCTTAAATATGTCCGCGCCTCTTTCGGTGCAAAAAAAAGAAAACAAATAATCGTACAAAGAAAAATGAGCAAAATAAAAACAATAAGCCGTTAATCAAGCAAGTCGCGTGAGAATCACTTCTCTTCGTTCTCTAATCATTCTATACGGACACGAAGTATCGTCTCGTATCGCGATTTCACGGCCGCTATTCGCTCGATCGTTCCTTCTCGCCGTGGGTACCGCCGCGGCAAGATAGTTGCATCGGGATCGTATCGGTATGATACTGTTAACTCATCCCGCGAATACTCGGGCTTCCACGCGGCTTCCGTTGCTTTTCCACCGCGGCATTCTTGAGAAGTTTAGAATCACCGAAAAAAAGACAAGGAAGAGAAAAAAGTTGCGCTCTCTCACTTTATCATCTCATTTATCGTTACGTCCCCATTTGGTATCACACAACCGCATAAATACAGTTAAGCTTATCGTTAATATCGTCGTTATCTCTATCTTATCACCGTTATATTTTTTCACTATCGATTTTATGAATAAAAAAATAATATATGCATTTTATTCGATTTTTTAGAAAAGCATCCTTCACATCTTGTAAGCGTGCTGTTATCCGCAATTTGATCTTTGCTTCAGAATAATATCTCTTGTTGAGTGCTTAAAGAATAGATCGATCAAAAAGATCGAAAGATCTTGAAGAGCCCGATATTAACCTTCGATAAATTCGCCGATTACTTTGTACATTATGACGGATAAAATTAGCAAAATTAATCGAAGACGGTTATCCAGCGCGGAGCGGTGACCGGACGTAGGCGTTCGGTTGGCTAATTGCAGGCTTGTTTTTTGTTTTTAATTGCAAACATGTTTTTCTCTAATGACATGCTGCTAGAGATCGATGAAAAGTTAATCGAGCAGCCTTGCTGCCGTCAAAGACAATTGACTTTTAGAGTAGTCGATTGTCTGTTCACTCCGAATGAAATAGATGAGTCATTTTCAACATGGTTCATATTCTCTATTGTGTGCAGTGCAATAACCGGATGTCAATGTCCGTTTCTTAACAGGTGGACTTGAAAGTGAATCATTTCGATAACGACATTTAATTATAAATTTTTTACACGTTAAGAGAACTTTTACTGACGGCTTGATTTTGCAATAGTCATTATAAATGTGTGTGTGTGTGATATTTTAAATACACATTATCTGATCAAGTGTTTTATATTATGAAAAAAATACACAGAAAAAAAGACATTCTTGTTTGAAAAATATATTTAGTTTTAACAAGAAAATCTTGAAATAAGATTATATTGCGTTAATTAAAGAAAAATATAATTGCTTGAATAATTGCTTATTTGAATGAAGCCATTTTATATAGTTCAATCCAGAAAAATATATTCTTATGATTTAAGATTTAATTTTCTCGAATGGAAAAGAAACAATGTTAGATAGAAAATAATATTTTTAAATCAAAGATTATAATTTTCTTAAAGTAGAATTAAATAATTATATATTCTTCAGGTGACAATTACAATATTAAAATAAGACTATAATATTGTTGAAATCTAAAATTATTAAATTCTTCTAAGAAGATTATAAATTGTTGCGTATATACGAAACAATGCACGCGTTTAAGTATATAAGTTTTGATTTGACATTTATTTTTTTCTGTGTATAATAAATTAATTAAAATATATAATAATATTATATATAAAATATCAATTATAGAAAAACATGTAAAAATTAATATTATTGTAATTGAATATCTCAGTGCGTAAATATGTCTATATATTTTTTATCTCTTAGAAAAAATAAACTACAGTGCGATTAAAATTTGAAATTCAAAATTGAATTCTTTTGGATCACAGCAAACATTTGTTCATAGATCATTTAACTCAAGATAATTGTCTTGATCATATCGTTTTACAATTGGATAACGGCAACAAATACAATCGCGTAGTACGATGCTCGTTAATTCTCCTCCGCTTCCATGGATTTTCTCGCGATTCTCGCTAAACGAGCAGTCCCACGATCCCCGTTATCGACATTTCGCCGAGTTGATAAAACAATGGCAAACCGCTTCCATCCTTTTCATTTGCATGAAGCTTTGCCTATAGAAATATTAAATATTTAATTAGCTATATCGATCGAGTTAAAATATATTTAAATTTATTCCGATAATTGTGGAAAATTTTTTAATTTAATTTGTTGATTATTAATAATTAAATTTAGAATAATTTTACAATAAAAAAATTCTTTCACAAACCTTCTATATACATACATAATTACTGCAAAATAATTCTATTGCATATTTTGATTATATATATATATATATATATATATATATATATATATATTATTTTCGAATATAGAATTACCGAAAAGCTATATATATCGCGCTTGTTAATTATTTATAATAAATTTCCGTTTTTTCAAGCCAATTTCCAAATTCCGAATTAAAAGATTTGATCTGTCATAAGCTCGCATTTGTTTACGTAAGCTAAATATCCCCGCACAGGTCGCATGCACCGCAATGTATTACGCTCTTATGTATTTTATGCTCTTCATTTATACGCCTACCTATGCAAATGAACGTTTTATCTAAGCCTATCTACCGCTAGGACCGCTATACCCATAGCGCACCGTGCGACTCCTCTCGCTCCTTACTGTTCTTGTATTTATTCTTTCACCTCTTGTGTGCAAGTGCGTCTTCGTTACTCTTCTCTCGTCGCATCTGCTCATAGCGATTATTCTCACATGGCCGATCTTAGAGCTGTTTTTCGCAAAACTAGGATATCGAAAGAAAAGGCTCGCGTTTTTACTTTTAAGTTGTAATGTGACTCGTTCGTTTTTTTAATTTCATGGTTCATGACTTGCCACGCGTGCTATGATCTGTCTCCATCATTTTCGCATATGCAAAGTGAATATCGCGAGAATCGTTAATTAAATAACCTGATGCAAATGGAAAGATATTTTCAACAGTTGTTGGAGTCTATATGAGTTTTTATATTAGATACTTATTATTTTAATGATTATGTATATTGTTTCATAATTAGATATTGAAGATCTTCAAAGATGCAAGAGTCAAACTTAGCGTGTATAGGAAGAAAGTAAGATTTCTATGACATCTTTTGGTTGCACACATATATAATAAATTATAAAATATATATTATATAATAAATATATATTATATAATAAATTATAAAATATATATTATAAAATAAAGAACGATTATTGTACTCTATACTATTGAAAATTAAAATCATATTTATATATATTTTCAAAAAAATTATTTTGCTGTGTTAATAATATTTAAAAAAGATTTAATTAATAAATTAGGTGCAATAAAGTCCACGTTATTTTATCAGATGAGGTCGCGATTTATAGAATCAATTCCGAGAGTCGGATCATTATCATTCGGGGTTAAGCAGTGAAAGGGTTAAGGCAACTTCGCAATTCTATGCAGGGAAATCCGCTCCTTTCCCGTACGGTGCTTCTAATGTGTCCAATGCGACCAGCTGTCCATGTCAAATCCGGTGGTGCCAAGTGCCCCGTGACTCGTAAACGACGTCTCAATTCCGCCACGGAGGTGGGAAAGCTACTTCCGCGCGAGTCAGCGAAATTGAAAATTGTCCGCTACCGGAGTTACAGTGCCATTAAGCTCGTTCTTGTTCCGTCTACCGTTGTACCTACCGTACCTACTCTCTTCCTCTGCGTTTTCTTTTTCTTGCGATC